ATATATATATATTTATATGATTTATGCTAATGTTTCCATCAATTCTTACGCAACCAACTTATTATTTAATATAAACAAGCATTTATAATTTGCCCCCCCCCCCCCAAATCAATAATTCAAGCCTTCGTCTCGTACAACACCAACAAACAAACAGACGATCAAACCAACAGAAACAATCAAACCATCAACAACAAAAATCAAACCAACAACAGACAATCAAACAAACAGAAAATTAAACCAACAGTCAATCAAATGTTTATCTTTCCCCAGGTTGTGGCCTTACTGAATGCTCTCTATTCTGAATTCGACGGCGCTATAGAAAATTTTGATGTCTACAAGGTACCGGGAATCTGTCTCAGTCTCACTGTCTGTCTCAGTGACTTTCTCAGTGTCTGTCTCAGTTTCTGTCTTAATCTCAATGCCTGCCTCACTTTCAGTGTCTGTCTCAGTGTCTGTCTCAGTTTTAACCTTTGGTCTAACCTTTGAGGAAATACACTTCTCAGATTTTAAAAATAGGCTTTGTTTAAACCGAGGGTTCTCAACCATGGCGCCAGGACCGGGGTGGGGGGTGGAGACATAGAAATGTTTAATTAAAGCAAAAGCACAAAAGCGGGGGTAGGAGGTGGGGGACATCCGAAGAAGAGAAACATTTTAAAATAAATATGTAAATAAAATGACATCTGATTACTTTTTTCACTAAATCTTATTAATCTGATTAATTTTGTATACATTTATATTTTTTAAATAACATGAAAGTGCAGAAAATAAATTTTTAATACATTTCTTGAAATGATTTATTACAAATTCGCCTCTGTCGCTTACTGTTTGGCTATCATTTTTATCGGCCCGGGAAAAAAAGAGGGGGCAGGGGGTATTTAGATTTTTTTAAAGTGTGGGGGAGGGGGTGCTGCACTGCAATAATGGGCCAAGAATCCCTGGGTTAAACTGTTGTCAGAGTCATGATTGACATACAGCTCTTGTCGGCTGTTTAAGGTGGAGACCATTGGGGACGCCTACATGGTTGTGTCCGGGCTACCGTTGCGTAACGGGGACGATCACGTGCTCAACATCGCCAGATTGGCCTTGGAGCTGCTGAAAGTGGTGGCCAGATTTGTGGTCCCGCACAAGCCGGAGCATAGACTGCAGCTAAGAATCGGCCTACATTCAGGTCAGTACGTCTCAGTACGTGGGTCTTGAGTGAAACTTTGGTCTTTGGTTTAAGGATGAAATAATGTGCATTTTTGGGGGGCCTGGGGGTCACACTAACTTACAATATGCTAAATTGGAATCCCTACTGGTGCTCACTGAGCAATTATCCCAAAACAGATATCCCAAACTACGAGGCTTCTGGGATTATGCTAATACAAATGTATTATTCAGACGAAATAAATTACACTTCCGGTCATGTTTCTGTAGGGGGAAAGGTGGGGGGGGGTTGCTTAAAGAACCTCTAAGTGACCAGTACATCCATGTACATAACCATGAAAAACTATGTTGCTATCTTTGCCCACCTACACTGGTGAGATTTTTCTGGCTTCGTGAAACAGATACAACAAAAACGTAAAAGAAAGTATATATTGTTACACGCAGTTTGCTTGTAATGCATACACAAAGTTTCAGATTGGCTTTTAAAACCTGCTGTGGCTGTCAATACCTGTCACTGGCTGTCACACACCTGAGTAAATTCCTCATTGCTGTAAAAAAAAAAAAAAATGTTAAATTTGTTCATAAAAATACCTTTTATTTATGTTCATCGGTTCATCAAATTGCATGACGTCACATCCAAATCCCATTGTTATTATTTTTTTTTTTAACAAACAGAAAACTTGGATTGGAAAAGATTTAACTGTTGTGTTTTATTTCAGGGCCAGTGGTCGCCGGCGTGGTCGGCATGAAGATGCCACGTTACTGCCTGTTTGGGGACACGGTGAATACAGCTTCGCGCATGGAGAGCAACGGAGAAGGTGGGTTCAGAGCTGAGTGGCTAGAAAGTGGTGTAGTTGGCGCTGTAATGACAACGCGATGAGAGCAGTGAAGAAGACAGGTTCGATGCTCGGTGGTAGAAATTGGTGTAGGTGGTTCTCTAATGACAACGTGAGGAGAGCAGTGGAGGTGGATTTGATGCGGGGAGAGCAGTGGAGAAGGTGGGTTTGATGCGGGGAGAGCAGTGGAGAAGGTGGGTTCGGTGCTGAGTGGTAGAAAATTGGTGTAGGTGGTGCTCTAATGGCAACGCGGGGAGATCAGTGGAGAAGGTGGGATCAATGCTCGGTGGTAGGCCTAAGTGCTGTATGTGGCGCTCTCTTTAAGAACAAATACAACTGACACTCAACAATTTAATTTTAAATGACGTCATGTTTGACATTGCTTTATGATAGTTTGACACCATCTTGTGTATATTGGGGGTGGTGGTGTCCAAGTACACCACTCTTCTAAATTACTCAGAAATAATTATATTTTTAAACATCTTTAAGAAGAAACTGAAACCGGTATTGGAACGTTTCCAATCCACCATTCCCGTGTGATTCCAAAAACGACATTTTCTCAGATATGTAGGCCTTTTACACTAAATGCAGAATTTATTGCTCTTAATTTATTGGTAACGACAGGTTGTTAGAAGATTATAATCCCAACCTGGTTTCAATCAACATGCTGAAAAAAAATAACAAAATCCTTCTGATTCCTCAGCACAAAAAGTTCACATAAGTGAAAGTTCAAAACAGTTGCTGGACAAGGTGGGACATTTTGAGACAGAACGGAGAGGGGAGGTTGCCATGAAGGTACTCTTTTTTTTTTTCTTTATGTGGGGGATATAAATGACGTGTGTAACCAGTGGCGTCACTATGAGTACTATAAGGGCTGGTGTCACCCGGTGAGGTAAGCTCGAACGACCCTTGCGCAGGGTTCGCCTAAGACCACCGGAAAACACAGATTTATGAAGTGGCAACGAAAATAATTTTATGATTGGGGGGTGGGGGGGGGGTCACCACAACATGAGGAACTGTATTAAAGGGTCGCGTCATCAGGAAGGTTGAGAACCACTGGGTTAACAGGATGGAAGTTACCAACAGTACTAGGTTGGTTTTTTGTGTGTGGATATTCAACGTTCAGTTGACACAATCTACAGTTGACAAAAATTTACAGTTATGAAATTTACCAACAGTGAACGGATTTCTTTGCCTTCTGTTCTTTCTCCGTTATCTCATTCTTGCATTTTCTGTTCACAATGTTCAACTTTTGATTCCGATAGGGCAAAGGGACTCAAGTTACCTACTGGTTACTGCGAGAATTGGACGCGACATCATCTCCGATTTTGTCGAACAAGCACACCGCCCCACTCGGCAACAACAACAGAGGTACGGCCACGACAGAGCACACTGCCCCACTCAGCAACAACAACAACAGAGGTACGGCCACGACAGAGCACACCGCCAATAATATGGATAGTGAAAGACACCTTGCCAGACAGTCGGGTACCGGCAAGACCAATGGCTGGGTGCTTGACACGGAACAATCATCGCAACAAATTCTACCATCGTCACGTGACCTCGGTTCAACCGCAACGTTGGTCACTCATCCGCCATCACGTCAGATCCAGCAGACGGCCGTCGTGACTACCGGCCTCAGACCTCCAGCTGAGGCTCCACCACAGTCCCAGGTTGTCAAGGGAAGCGGGGTCAAGCAATTTAAACCCACGGCCAAGGTTTACCCAGAAGACAACACCTAAGTGTGAACAGTGGAGACACTCAGAAGTGTGACACACCCCTCCCCCCCCCCCTTCGGGCATCACACTAAAAGTGTCACCAGTAATTGTGATGTCTGGAACCAAACTGAAGTCAGTGGTGGCGATTATATAAATGTGTTTCTCAAAACATTACCAGGCAATCATCACGTGGCTTCCTTTGTTCACCAGACTTAGAATGAAACAAGGTAGTCTTTGACCGTGGAGTGCCTAGGGCAACTCTTGGGAGAGAAACAATGTTGTTTTGTGATCGTTCGGGTTTCCCCCTACTCTTTGAGTTATATGTCGTATTGCTTCAACCTCAACTCAGTCCTTCCCATATTACACTTGCGAAATAGGCACTGGATAAGCTCACAAGGAATAATATACTGCTCTAGCCAATCAATTTAATCATGGGGAGGGGGGGGGGGGGAGAAAAGGAAAAAGTGGAAAAATGTAGTGAGAAGGTGGAGAAAAAGGCGTGGAAGAAATAAATTTTAAGTTATAGTTGCTTTCATTCAATTTTGTTTTTTTGTTATTGCAAAATCATAAATCCATAAGCGGCATCCAAAGCATTATTCATGCTTCTAATCCAGCCAATCAAAATTAGGCAGTGCCCATTACAAGATTTCCTAATGACCCAGTTTTTCTTTAAAAAAAAAACATTTTAATTCAAACCTGGCTCAGGTGAAATACATTCCGAAATTTCTCCTCTAGATTTATGGTGCTGAGACTAGTGAGACCCAGGAGACCAAAAATTTCTGATAAAAGAGATTTGGTCTTCCCAGTTTCCTAATACTGTCATGTCAATTTTGTTACATCAAGTGATGTTCATTCCTACAAGTTCATTTTGTTCATTCCTACAAGTTCATTTTATTCATTCCTAAAAGTTCATTTTATTCATTCCTAAAAGTTCATTTTATTCATTCCTAAAAGTTCATTTGTTCATTCCTAAAATTTCATTTTGTTCATTCCTACAAGTTCATTTTATTCATTCCTAAAAGTTCATATTGTTCATTCCTAAAATTTCATATTGTTCATTCCTACAATTTCATTTTATTCATTCCTAGAAGTTCATTTTGTTCATTCCTAAAATTTCATTTTGTTTATTCCTACAAGTTCATTTTGTTCATTCCTAAAAGTTCATTCCTAAAATTTCATTTTGTTCATTCCTAATATTTCATTTTGTTCATTCCTACATGTTCATTTTGTTCATTCCTAAAAGTTCATTTCAGGTTGAGGAAATTTCAAACAGTTAACAAAACGAGATGCATAAAAACAAGTATTTTTATTCTCACTCTTTTAAACTTAGTGATCATAAATCAATATGTATTTTTTTTTTCAGTTTTAAAAACCATTTTTTCTTTACACCGTCATTCCACAACAACTTCATTTGTGAATATTATAGCTCTAAGGGTGTAACTGACACCAATTTTCTTGCACCAATTTATACTCATTCAGAATGTTCACTATGTACATGGCTCCTACAATTCATTTGTTCCAACAAAAACACACATTAAAATTAAAAAAATATGTTTAAAAACCTGAAATTAAATTTTTCAAACCTGAACTTGAATGTGAGAACACTTTATAATTCATATCAAGTTTTACCTTACTTATATGACACTATAAAAAAAAAATAAAAATTCAAAATTAAAATTGTCAAATTGAAACCAAATATTCCTATGTCGCCCCAAATTAAATCAGGACTCCGGGGACATTATGAGAAGCTAAGAATACAGACGTGATCAAATTTTGCACATGGAGCAGCCGGTCAAAAGCCAAACATGTATTCTTTTAACTTTGAGACTATGCTAGCATCTCGCTTGGGTGTCGGGGCGTCTCTCATGACCTGCAGGAAAATTTGGGAAAGTTAAAACGTGTGATGTCATTCTTATTAGCTATGGCAAAAAGAAGAGAGAAATTGTAATAATTTGTCAGTATTTTAATAACGCTAACAATAACTTGCCAATCTCCTTTCAATTCTAAACCTTGCCAAGCATTCCCGTAATTTTGACAATTATTAGGAATGTTATTATAAAAAAAAAAACCAATATTGAATTTATTGTTCAGAAATTTCAATTAATATCATTCATTGGGAGGAAAATAAAAAAATATATATTTAAAAAAAAAAAAAAAACTTTCTAAATAAGACTTTCTATCAAAGAAACAAGTTTAAAACACTAAAAAGTAAAAGATCAATTTAAAATTCTTCATGCCAAGAAAGCCTGCGAAAAAAAAAAAAAAACCAATATTAAATTTATTTTAAAAAATTTTAAATAAATATCATTAATTGGGAGAAAAAAAAAAAAATATATATTTAAAAAAAAAAAAAAACTTTCTAAATAAGACTTTCTATCAAAGAAACAAGTTTAAAACACTACAAAGTAAAAGATCAATTTAAAATTCTTCATGCCAAGAAAGCCTGCGCAGAAGTGTCGATGAGCACACTATTTAGCTAAAGGATTCTAACTGAATGTATCTGAAACTTACCTTTTTTTTAAAAAATAAATTTTTGAAAATATTTATCCTTTGTCTTTCTTTGCTTAATGCAATCGAGGAAATAAATTTTTTTCTCTACTTTTTAGTGGTTTAAACCCTGCTTTGATAGTTGCTTTTTTTAAAAGAAGTTATTATTATTTACAACTGTTGAGTGTAAAATTATAATCTGTGCATTAGGGAAAAATAATTTTTTTAATTCTTAAAAATATTGCTGTACAACTCCGTTATTTGAATAGAGGATCCTATAACAGCAACTACAAATTTACAAAATTGCATGCATAAATACTACACTACACCGGCACTTACAAGACTCTCGAAAAACTGACTAACTGACAAAACTAACTTGCATACTATGCAAACACAATATTTATTCTCTTACAATGTTTATTGACCATTCAGAACACATGATTACTGACACAACTCAAACCATAACATTCCACACACAAATAAAAACACCCGTTCCTAACAGCTGACAAGGGACGAGATGCTCAAGTGGGGAGATCAACAACACCCTGGGTATACAGACAGACAAACATTCCAACAGTCGTCACGACACACATCCTCCCCAAAATCCTAGAGCTCTTATCTGACCTCCACTACCGACCCTTCTCCAGCTGTTCACACTGCACGAGAAAGACTCTATCGACGGAGGGAACATGTCACATGTGTGAGCAAAAAATTACCCTCCACAAGATGGAAATGCCAGTACAAAGAAAATCTTTAAGTTATAATAAGGAAATTTGATTGTCTTTTATTTTTGTCTAGTTTTGAATGTTAATAGAATAAATCATGAGTTCATTAATACAAAAAATAATAAATGTGTGTTGTTAATGCCTTTAACAAATTTTTTCTTATTTTCTCCATAAAATGCTGAATCACTAACAAAAACTGCCATACCCAGACCTGTTTACCTTCCAACTCTTAAAATCGTACACTATCCTCACAAAATCGTTCAATACATTATCTGAATAGTAAAAAAAACACAGTATATATAATATTTAGGCCTCAAAATCGTACATTGTACGCCCAAATCGTAAGAGTAAACTGGTCTGCATACCTCATACTCTCCCCTGGAGGCAACGTAAGCTGCTGTCAAGGGCCTTATCTGTGTCAGGGCTGTATCGCCAAGCTCACTGCCTGACCTGAATGTGTTGTCGGCTGACTGAGTGGAGTGCATGGACTGGTTCTCTTTCTCTTCCATAATGGTCTTATGTAAAATTGGAAATCATGGAACAAATGACTAACTAGCCTGGTATCCTAAGTAGCAATCAAGAATTTCTTAGGTCATTCTTACTTACATTTGTCAACATAATTATATTAAAACTAGCCAATGGCGGTGGCAATGGGTGACCTTCCCACCTGCTAAAGTTACTTGACAAGAGATGCCTATTATTGATAACTTTTGGTAATCAGGGCTCTATTTACATTTGCAGATTCTCAATGTCTACTGGTAGGATGGTAGAATTAACGTGTTCATGAACACAAGGGCACTTCCATTTAAGAAGAAACTATTTTCCAGCTACCATCTTTTTAAAGCAACAAGAGTTCAAAATAAGCCTCACATTATAAATAATAATTTTTATTTTCCAGAACAGGTTCGCTTTTGAATGTGCATTTTTTTTGTGACTAGAAATACTGATTTTACGATATTTTGATTGATATTTTAAGTTACATGTAAGTTGGTCTACTTGGAATGTATTTGGTCAATTTAAATATTTTTTATTATAAGTCTAATCACTTGGTATGCCTTTACCTTCTCAATGCAAGAAGTTACTCCAATTTTCATGCAGCCTCCGTAGACTTTCCCATTTTTACTGAGAGCTTTCTTGGCTTGGATCTTAGACAAGTAGTGTATGTGCATCCAGTTGCATTCTGCGTAGACCTGGGGCAAATAGAGGTTTTTAAAAAAATTACAGAGTTGAAGTACTTTGATTTGAAAAGGATGAACAACCACAGCTGAAGAAAACAGTAATTTAAAAAACTAGGTTCAGTTTTAGGGTATTTCAAATGATAGATAAAATTTGTTTTTTCTACTAACAAGTCTAAAATACAATTTATATTCACCCATACAGCTTTGTTATTTGAAAAAAAAACCAAAGAAAACTTAAAATGAACAATATTTATTCACAGCTGATTCTTCAAAAAACAAGTTAAGTACAAAAGCATGCAGAAAAATAGGAGGCATTTCATTTCTCTTTTTTTCCTATATTTGAGGGCCCACAATAAATTTATTGATCATTCTGGCTCCCAGTTTGAATTCAGAGTTTTGCCTTCTCTTAGATGAGTTGCTGTCCAACGAGCCCCATCCACCCGGGACTCTACCAGATGGTCAGAGGACTATATCGCATGGACTGGTAATATTGAGTACTGAAAATTCAGTGAAAACTCAAACTCAGATGAAAATCAGATTTTTTACCAACTCTATCTTGTGATCTTCATTTGTGCATTTCTCATGTTGCCGGAAGCTCGAGTCCGGATTTACTCATTTGTATTAATTATACATGTATTACTCCAAACCCTGGTAATTAGCTTATGCATGCTGAATGAGCTGCGAAACACACCACATGTTTGATGATCGTTCCGTACTGAGAAAACTGCTGGAGGATGAAAGATGTGGCGCCTGGAGGAAACCTGGCCATGACAAGAGGAAGCAGTTTTGTTAACTTTGTTTTAAACACTGAGGCCTATGACACGTCAACAACAAAAAAATTGCACATAAAATCATAAGAAAATAGAATGATAACTTAGAAGGCTAATCTGCTCTTACTAATTTATAGTGGTGTTTTTTGCTTTTTTTCCCCCCAAATATTTTGAAGTTTTCAAAAAATTGTATCATTTATAGGAAACAATCCTTCACTATAGAGTGAATACAATTTGGACAGTTGACAAATCTTACTTTCCTAATTAGGTCGTAGATCAAACACCACACATGGGATATTTTGTAAACATATGCAAGAAGCCATTTTGCAACTCAACTTCAACCATCAGAGTAAAAATTTAATTCTCTTTTGTTTTAATTTAAATTAAAGGCTGCATGTCTAAAATTCTTTTTCTTTTGGAGAACACGAATGATAAAGTAGTAGATAAAAATTTCACTCACCCAAAGACTGTGACCCAGGTTTCATCTAAAACATCATCAGACTTCAAATCACTGGAAAACATTTTAAGATAGCAAGATACAAAGGGTTCACTTTTAGAAGCCTGCACATTCATTACACTATAATATGTTCACTCAGGGGTACACTTGACTTAATCTCTAACCCACAACACATGACCTGCTAAACCAAATATGGTTTTTCTAGTTTACTTTTCCCAGGTGCATTTACAGCCAACATAAGCATATTAAAAATAACCAAAGCTCAGTTTTAAATACTTACTAAGCCAAGTGACTTACGACTCACCCTTGGGTGTAGAAAGGATCCGCTTGGGCTGGGGAGACTGGAAAAACCTGGCTCTGGTTCATGGCCAGCTGACTTGAATCTCTGGATAAACCAGGGCTCTGGAAGAGACCTGCAACAAATTATGTTACACATGATCTGTAACAGCTTACATCTCATCACTTGTATTTAGTAACACTTTGGGTATTTTCATTGGTTGCCCATAGGTCTTCTGACATGTATTTTATCAACCCCAATCCACTTTCCAATGTCATCTCTTGCTCCACACAATCTTCTAAGACCTTGCATTGTGATGCTTATTGATATTCCTTTTAACCTTGTTTCATTTTGCGGTGCAACAATGCTGCATGCACAGGCAGACTTATCCTAAATTAGTTTCAAGACATTACCAAATAACATTACTGTTACCGGTACATTGAAAAATGTTCAATCTTAACATGGTAAAGACAAGGAAATAACCAAAAAATAACCCGGGTAGATGGGGCTCGTTAGCCTTGGATGGCAACCCATCTAAGAGAAGGCAAACTCTGAATTTAAACCAGGAGCCAGAATGATCAACAAATTGATCGTGGGCCCTTCAAATATAAGAAGAGAAGAAGAAGAAAATATTTCATGTTAACTATGAACAGAATATGAAATAATAGCAACAGTTGACATATCATTTTTAACAGTGTGCTCATCCAAGGTAATCTGTTTAGCTTGGCAAAGAAACCATTTTCCCTAAGCCGCATGATGGTTCATGTCAGAGAACAGCATTTTTTAAAAAACATTTTTTTGAAGCACCTGAACAAATCGGTTACTGGAAATTTGATTGAAAGAACTTCCGTCGACAGTAAACTGATCAACAGAAATCGGAACTGATCAAACGGAAATTTGTTCAAAACTTTTTTTCAATTAAAAATTTTCTCCAAATTTCTTTTTGAACGCACCATACTATATAGTAAAACAAAATAATGCGTTCAAAAAGAAATTTGGAGCAAAGTTTTAACGTAAAAACTGAAAAAAAGATTCAAAGAATTTTTCATTCTATCAAATTACCGTCGACGAAATTTCTTTCGATCAAATTTCCAGATACGGAACAAATCTTATTCCACACTAACGAGCAGCATTGATGGTGCAGAAATCCAGTTAAACATTACATCAAGGCCTAGAGACAATCATAGTTTGCTTCTACACAAACTCCAGAGATATGGGATCCAAGGCACCACTAAAACATGGATCTCTAGCTTCCTCAGCCACCGATGCCAAGCAGTGGTAGTGGATGGTACAAGCTCCTCCTTTGTTGATGTGAAGTCAGGGGTCCCCCAGGGATCAGTGCGAGGCCCCTGTTTGTTCCTAGCATACATTCCGGCTCATACCAGAAAGAAGGCAGTATAGGAACTGCTCATTGCTGCCCAAGACAATCAGGGACTGGAACAAGCTTTCGAAAGGAACAGTTGAGATTTTTTTGTGTCTATTGCCTTAAGCCTTCAAACCCCCAGTGCATGATTCCCGCACAAAGTGGCACATGCAATCAGTGAAATATCCTCATCAACACCAGGCACAGAAACATTGCAAATCCCCTCTATGTGCATAGGAGCCAAAATGATCAATAAATTGATCGTGGGCCCTTAATATATAGAAGAAGAAGGGTTACCTGCTATCGGTGGGGCAGGAGTTGACGTCTGCCTGAGAGCTGGGGATGAGACTGTGCGGTTCTGTCCAGGGGTTCCAATCTGTTTGATAATTGTATTTTTTAATTTTTTTTTGTCAACAAAGGTTAAGGTCTTGAAGTAACAACAATCGTACAGAAGTGAATTTATTGTTTTCAAATTTAGTAAAATTACTCAAACAACACTAACGTTACACATTCCTTAAATAAACAATTGGAGGTCAATGGAAAAAAAAAATCATAAAAAATCTGATGATTAACTTGCCATCAATGACTTTCTAATTTATCAAAATTAAGCAGAGTTTAAAATTCATAGTACATTCTATTTGTAATTATTATGGTGCTTAACATGGATAATTTTTAATTTTTTTTTTATAAGTTATTCTAACACAAATGAACACATTTTTTAAAATAAAATATCAACATACCTGGTGTTGTAAGCTGCCATCTAAAGCTGTTGGACTAGAATATAAACTTTTCAATGGTGGGCCACCAACTTTTCCCCTTGCTGCTTCTCTCCTATGATGTGCAAAGGAAATGAAACAAATTAAACTTCTAACTTTTATTATAAAAAAAAAAAAGACGATATTGAAATATTAGCATTATTGCAGTGTTGATGCTGGAATAATATGGTGCAAAATGGTTGTGGGTCAATTGTGTGTTTTGGTGTTTGTTTCGTATGCAAATTGGCACATACCGGGACCTTTGGTGTCAAGATATGTGTTAATAATATGTGCATGACGTAGGCTGTGTTGTTAGGGTAGTGTGTGTAGGTATATTGGTCAGATGAGACACTGGACTGGCTTGAAGAGTTGAGTGATATTGAGGATGGACAGGATCAAGATCTGTATTACCATGGATGACTAAACAAATACATGATAGATTGAACATACAGCAGTGCTGAGGTTACCACTGAGTACACTGTACTTCATACCCTGGAGTCAAAGATATAGGATTTCAAAAAATCAGTGCACAAAAATTAACTGGTGTCTTGACTTCTAAAAAGAATGGGCTTCAACATCAAATAACACTGGCTTGAGAGTGTCAAAAAAGGAATACAATCACCTCTTATCTTCCTCACACACATTGATGGATCAAAACACGTACCAGCCTATATTTATAAATGAATGGATATCTTATTTTACAAGAGAGTTTTGTTTTCCCTTAGTATACAACAAGGTATGTCAAGTTAAAGGTGTTTTTGAAATGTGATTAGTACTTGCAGTGACATATTAAAATTACAATGACTTTCTTTATACTTTATTGTATACCAAAACTCCATTTGCCTACCTGGTCAGTCCTGCTGATCCACCAGATATACTCATTTGACTGGACAGAGCACCTTTCTGTGCCTGACCCTGACCACCTCCAGAAGACCAAATCTTTGGACTCAACTGTACATGATAAAACACAAATGGAGCATACTTACTACATTTAATCTGAAAATTTTTATACTTGTACTTATTTTAATCCAAGTTTTCTGAATCATATGTTAAAAACAGCCCATTTACGGATTATCGAGGTTCAGAGAATAAACATGCACCAAACTTTAATCGAAAAGACATCCCACCTTACATTGTTATAATGTAATGAAAATATTTCTGTTTTATCTGGCATGAGTTACATTTCAATTGATATCAATGAAATCAAGCTATGGGATGATACGTACTACTGAATGGTGATGTAAGTGGTGGTCGCCAAGTAGATACCCAGGTAGGAAAGGAGAGGAATGGCTTAGAGGGGCGATGAGGGATTGACTTGGACTGCTTGGGGATAATGACATAAAGGAATCTGTAAATAAAAACAAAACATAGGCTTGACAAAATATTACTAATATATTAGAAACTATTTGTGATAGCTTTAACTAGCGTCACATCATAGGCTATAAACTATTCAATAATTCATAGATTTATATGGTAGTAAGTTTAATTGGTTTACTATTCTTTGAGTGAGTAGAGTAAGCCCACTAACTTAACTTTGTTAAATTAGTCAAGCTGTAAGTTAAGCAGCTAACTACTAGTCTAGTGATGGGCCTATTTTTAACAATATATCAGTTAGACTTGTAGTTCTAGTCGGCAGACCTGTTTACCCTCAAACTCTTAAAACCGTACAATATCATCGCAAAATCGTTCAATACATTAACTTAAAAGTAAAAAATAAACATGCAGTATACATAATGTATACACCTCAAAATCGTACATTGTATGCCAAACTCGTAAGAGTAAACAGGTCTGAGTTGGTAACCTTCTCTTCAGACCAAGGATGTTTAACGATAACCTGATTTTGACTATTTTGAGTTATTGGTTTTGAAACAGGTGGTTAATTTTCAAAAACCAGTTAGCAAATTATTTTTATCATGATATGAAAAAAAAAATAACCAAACTGACAGTTAATGAATGTTTTTTATCATTTAATAAATAAAATACTTTTAATTAAGATGCTTTATAAAGCATAAAATTGATAAGCTTATTGCTAATGCTTAGTGTATCTGACCATACAACACTCATTATCAATATCAGCGGATCAAAGTTTCAAACCGGTTGTGGCTGGCAGCTTTTTCTGTACAATTTTAAAATTATTAACAAGTTGGTACAATCACCCATAATTTTACCTCCTCAAATGAACGAAAATTACGACAATGTTAAGAGAACACATATTTAAATTTTAAAAAATTAATTTCAAATTATATAATCATATTAATAAAGTAGACTGAAAATACATGCCACACCCCACCAAAAAAATGCCATGGGGGAAAAGCGGGATCTTTGTTCCCTTTCCCACCCACACCAGTGTATGGTACCAATGTTGTGGTATCACAATGCTACACATGTAACTGGCCTCTTCTGGTCTTATAAAATATTTCTATCTTCGCCAAAGCAAAGAGATAGCGCCATCATTTGCATGTTATTGTAAAGTTTCTGTTTTGGATTCACTCCCTTTGTTTTTTCTTACCAGAGTTAAGTTTTCCTTCATATGACCATGGCATGTTTTCATTTAAATTGGAATTGGTTAATTATATTTTAAAATTTCATTGGTTGGGTATTAATTTTTTAATTTTTCCGCCATATTTGAAATTTTTTTTTGGCATGGACGACTTTGTATTTTATTCATTTTCTGGTTATTCTTTTTGGTGGAACCTAAAATAAAGTGTGTAAAAGTGTATTCTATGAAACTGTCAGTTGGGTTTTCATTATTTATTTATTTGACGATTATTTTTGTATTTTTTTTCTTCATTTTAATAGTTTTCTAGCCACATTGTGTATGCAACTAAAGCCACACACATGTTGACGCTTCTTGCCAAATATCTAGACAGATACAATAAATTCACATAAGTAGCTACTGCCTACGTTCACCACATTGTTTCATTAAATTTTATCGTTTTATTCCTAATTTTAGCAAATGTGAGTTATTTTATTTTTACACGGCCGCATCTTGTTTGCAGTGACCCGTGAATTTTTACGGGTTCACAGGCCGTTGCAACCAAGATGGTGACCTGTGATACCACACGTCATGGTGCATTCTCTTTGTATTTACTTGATTTACTCATTTACTATTACTTTACCCAACCCCCAATCTTACTCTTACCATGACTAATATTACGATTCTCAGTAAAAAAAAAAAAAAAAAAACCAGCAGAGTTTAACAGTAGTTTAAAAGTTTGTGGACCAAAATTCAAACTTAGTGTTTAGTACTTATCTAGTAGAGGATTAGAATTAGTCAGTCAGTACAGAAATGGAACGCCATGCATTCCCATGCCTTCCAGCAGAAGACTCGTCCCTGAGTGTAAAAAACGAATAATGGGGGTGGTGGTGTGTTTCTAAATCCTATAACCGATTTTCGGAAAGAAAAAAAACAAACTGGTATCATCATTTTGCTACTGTCTACTGACTCGCTGAATCAGTGGTGGGTCGGTCTTTTCTAAGAGTAAGAGTGAGTCTTCTTTTCGAAGTCCAAGTCCAAATCGACTCTCGCCGGTTTCGAAAACGTAACTTATAATTAACACAGCTTAGACTAAATTTATCCCTTACTACTGCATTTGTTGCTTACCATGCCCTTGAAAATTGTCATTACTAGGTGTCGGTGTAAACATGACTAAATAATAATAATAATTCAGCTTTTCTTTAATAGAGAAAAATTAAGTAGGCCAGTTGAACTTTTGAAATTTTAAATTTGTTGGGTGTGATGTTTGGGTCTGCCTCTTTACCGAGTTCCCAAATTGAAATCGAGATAGATCCAAGTTAGGTACATTTTAATCATTTAAAAAAAAACAACTCAACAATTTATTTTTAAACAACTTTAATTTCCCGCAAATCCATAATTTGTTAAATAATAAGATTTCAAATGATTAATTTGCTGAGATTACGAGTAGCTGCTGCAGGATAGATGCAATTGATCTCATATTATTAACTTTAATAGTGTGTTAAAATAGGTAAAAAATTAAAATTATTGAAAGTTTGGATTTCAAACTTTGAAATAAAGCAATTAAAATAATAATTGGTTTTTATTAGTTTCAGACATCTGAAATAAGTTAAGAAAAACTAGTAAATCTAACTAACGTGAAGTTTTAGTGTTGAATAAAATTATTTAGGGGGCGTCTATTAATTACATCAACAATTTTATTAAAAAAAGTTTTCCCCCCCCCCCCCCTTCCTTGTCAACAACTGTCAAAATTTCAATTACTCCGATCCCCCTAATAAAAGTAATTTTGTAAACATTTTTATACCCCCACCCCAAAATCAGGAATTATGATATAAATAAATATCTAGATACATCTTACTTTGTGCTGATCTATTTTAATAACACAAAATTGTAGGAAAAACATTTTTGTCGAGCATGGGAGGTCAATAATATTTTTTGCGACTGAATATTATATTTGATTACGCGAGGTGTGTGTTTAAGAGTTATATTAGTTAGTGAACGCTCTTCCCGCGCTTGATTTGGTGACGTATTTTTAAGCTCATAGTGACGTATTGTCTAGTCTGTTTTGTGACGTACGTTTTATTCGACTGGCACTCATGAATGGAACTTTGTGGAAGTGGGGTATGTTTTATTTTTGTCTGATAGCGAGCTGCGCTATATGCATGTGTTTATGGCAATTAAAGCCTGTGCATATAATTAGGTATTAAAGTTACATTTATTGTGATAAAGGACTTGTGTTGAATCAGTGTTAGAACGACACATTACAACGAGTGAAAGAACTTGAAGATAACCAATCTAGTAGAAACAATGAGACAATTTTTTGCATCTATAGCTTGTTAATCAACAATTAAGACGTTTTTACACTTAATTTTTAGAAAGCAGAATAAATTTAAAGGTTGTTAAAAACTAAATATTATTGTTTGTAGAAGTATAAATATGATTATTGTCAGTAAAGCTGACAATTGTTGCATAATTTCTAGCTGCTATTATCTTCACAGGGCGTAGCCAGATGTTGCATTATCGTAACAATGGGCATAGTAACTGATTCATCATTTTCATCTTGCAAGACTGATATACCAACAAGAAAACACCATCCTCATCTAACCATTCAGCACTTAAATTAAATAGAAGCATTGTCAGTGTGAGCATTAATTGCCATTACCTCTCTCTGTCTCCTGGCATCTAATTCTTCTTCTTTCGGATCCTTTTTGTTGAGGAGCAGGTGGTAATTTCTAATGCATTGTCCATGCTATTGAACATGCTATTTCAACATGCTTTGTTATGCAAAATAGATGTTGAAGCTTTTGCAAATTTGTTCAACCAGCGATGTTATTATTGTTACTCACTTTACTTTCCCCCTAATTCGCAAAATATCATATTTCTACTCTATCAATATCATTTATCTTAATTGTACATGAATGAGACTTAAACCTTGTCCTTGTTCCATACCTGCAACGCGATCGCAAACACACCGCCCTAGTCATTTGCGAAAAAACAGAATCTACAGGCGAAGAGAGGCCAAATTTGACTTCTCTTGCACTAACAAAGTGTGCCAACCATCTGACCAGCCATCAGCAGTGCACAGACATTTTATTAATCTAATATTGTTAAAATTCTAAACATTAGACAACTATTTACATTCATTAAATTTGTTTTAAAAAATGTAATAACCAGTCAATTTTTAAAGTTTAAAATTTAATAGAGAAAACATAATTGTTGACGTCAACTAATCTAACTCTCCCTCCCCTTGTCAACAATTGTCAAACATTTCCACCCCCACCCCATGTTGTTGACATAATTAATGACTGACTCCTTATAGTATAGGTTTATATTACATGAAAATAAATGAAAAATAATTTAAAACACACTTTATATTCTTTTTTAAAAATAACAACAGAAAACATTGTCCTGAGAAGCTTGGGAAATATTTAAATTGATTCTTATGAAAGGGGCTCTGGGACTGCCAAAATTCTAGGGCTAAGGGGTAAGAAAAAAACAGTGCCCGTCTTTCAAAGGAGTCTTAACTTTTAACTTAAGCTAATCAAACATCATGACTGTAGAAAATATTGTCCCCCCCCCCTTCCCCAAATTTCTATAAAATCCGAGTTAAACGGTTTATCAGGGAAAGCTACTAAATGTTCTTATTATATTAGTTATTAGGCCTACCCTACTACCCTCTGGAAAAATCATTTTTATTTCGTTGTTAGTTGTTAATGCTCAATGATAGTGTTCATATTTGTGAGTCCATTCAACATAATTTGGCATAATACAAAATAATAATTAAAGATTATTTGTGTGAAGTAAACTGAGTCTGACTAAACTAGAGCTTGAAATTAGATTTGAGGATCACAGTGGGACAGTAGAAATATTTTTATAAATATACATAACACGTAGTTTGAAATTTTATAAAAAAGTTTTATTTACATTTAATTTGGCATAATTTGGTCCATTTTGGATCGTTTAAATTTGGGTACACTACACAACAACTGCTACTCATTTTATAAATGTCAGCGTGACTGGTTTACACCCATATGATGCCCATATCTGACATCCATCCCGGCCTATAGTAAAAAGGTTTTTTTAATGTTTGTTGGTCATATGAATATGACTATTAGGGTCATATCAAATTTGTGAAAAATTTTTAGGCTTAGGGTGTGGGAGTGTGTGTGGGAAGACCCAGAAGATCAAGTTTATTATTACTCTTTATCTTTGTTACTTTGTAATTGAATTGGGCTCCTCTCGGAAATGTTTTGGATTCAAATCAATCAAGATGTGCTGCAGTGCAGCAAAAAGGTTAAGAACTCCTGCTGTTGTCTATCACTAGGCTTAAATCAATTTTCTTTATTAAAATTTAAACTGGTACTGCAGACATAGAGTACTTACTACTTAGTTAACTTATATTAGAGTTGAAGCCTAAAAAAATATAGAACTTTAAATAAAAACAAAACAAAGATCGATATTTTAAAGGATGATTAAATTTTAATGTCCAAAGGCGGTGGCTGTACCTAGTTGAGTTAAGAACAGTTTAATAGTATAGTAGGCTTAGTCTGCTACTATTGCAACCAGTGTTTCTTTCAGAAACTTTTCACTGGGGGGCATTTCAAATGTTGGGGAGGGGGGGGGATGAGGGGTGGGGGGCTAGGCCAGGGGCGTAGCAGAATAGGGTGCCAGCCGAGTAGGGTGCCAGCAGAGTTGGGTGCCAGCAGAAGGGTGGCAGCAAGATGGGGTAGGGGGCATTTCAAATGTTGGGGAGGGGGGGGGATGAGGGGTGGGGGGCTAGGCCAGGGGCGTAGCTAAGGGGGGCATATGGCCCAGGGCACCAGAGTAGCCTGGGAGGGGGGGAACATGGGCTGTAATGGCATTTAATAATTGAAAATAATCAGTTTCAGAGTTGGGGGGGAGGGGGGGGTGTAACAATGAATCTTGTCCCTTGACACCAAACACTGCTAGTGGCGTCAAAATAAGGTGGATGGGGTGTTCCACCAAGGTGTCACTTTTTCTTTATATGTAGGTTTGGCATATTCGGAAAACTGCAGAGTTTGCATTGGTAAAGGGAGGACAGCAAAAATATTTGCCAGCCCATGGCAGCACTAATAGTAGCTGCTTTACTAACCAGTGTATCTACCGATACCAAAATTGGGGATCATTTTCATCGGGAAGTAGGGCGGAAATTGAGGGAAATTGATGAATCTTGATCGGAGGAGGGATCTGGGGAGGAAGGAAAATTTTTGATTATATCAAAGTCAAGAGGTGTATTTTTGAGTATATTTGAATTCGAGTTTTTATTTTAATTTTTTAACGGTGGAGGACATTTTTAAAGTTTTGCGGGAGGCATTATGGTGCCCAGTGCCGTACATAAACTGGATTCACTCAGTCTGTGGCGTGTCCCAGAGTAATTATTTGGCACAAGCTTATAATCAACCACATATTGTACCGTTGATCAGTGTGAGTAAAAGGGTGCATTAATTTAGGGTGGTTAAGACAGTCAGGCAAAGTCAAAATGCAGAGGTGCATTTTGGTGCATACTTGAATTTGTGTTTGCTTTAGAAAATTTTGAGGTTGCATTTCAAACTTTCGGGTGGGTAGTGCCAAAATTAGCCATAATATTGATCAACGACATCTTCAGTTTGGCTCTAGTGAGATGTAAGCTAAATTCATTCTACTTGTGTCACCCTTGAATTATACACTGAGATACATAAACTTATAACTTAAATTTGGCAAGAAGAGAACATTCCAAAAGAATGGGAAACAGCATTAATAACCCCAATACGCAAGAAATGCTTCAAAATTCAGTGCACAAACGACAGAGGAATCTCCTTATGAAATGTTTCATACAAAATACTGACGAAGCTAATTGCCAAAAGACTAAAACCCTACACTGAAAAAATACTAGATGATTACCAATGAGGATTCAGGCAAAACAAACCATCAACTGATCAGATTTAGAGAAATGTTATGAATATAATATCCCAATACACCAACTCTATGTGGAATATAAAATGGCCTATGACAGCACCAAAAGAAAATATCTGTATGAGAGTCTGCAGGAGTTTGGCATACCCAACACACTGAGAAGACTGATACATGTAATATTGAACAACTCAAAAAGCAAACTCAAGGTTCAAGGAGAATATTTAAGGGAATTTCAGATTAGACCAACCTTAAGACAAGGAGACTCACTGTCTGTATGCTATTTAACCTAACATTAGAGAGAATTATAAGAAGTAAACATATTGACACCCAAGGAACAAAAACAGGATACTTTCTGAAAGAAAGCCAAGACCCAAAACCAATTGGTACTCTCTACAATCAACCCCTCCAGTAACTTTGCTTTTGCTGATGACATACCACTGCTAGGGAAAAGTATGAAGGGCGAATCAAAATCCTTTATTGAATTAGAAGACGCATCACTACCACCAGGGCTGGAATTTAACAACCAAAAAAACAAAATACATGACTAATGACTATGATAAGAGAAGAACTGACAGATTAAGCCGATAAAATTAGAAACCACACGTTTGAAAAAGTAAATCAATTCAAATACCTAGGAGCTTAATTTAATGAAAGAAACAAATTACAAGCAGAAATAAAAGAAAGAATATCAGCCTGAAATAGGGCATACTTCAGTAGTCAGAAAATGCTCAAAAGTTAAAACATTAAAAGACAAACAAAGAAAACTATTTATAACAATGGAATCAGACCAGTTGTAACATACGTATGTGAAACAAAAATGGCAGAAAACATATTTAACATATGGGAGAGAATCGTTCTCAGGAAAATGTATGGACCAACAAAGGATGAATATGGATGGAGAATACAAACCAACCAGGAATTTTACAGCCTATATCAGGATAAACGATAATAGAAATAAAGGCTAGGCTGGGCAGGACACTTAGAGAAAATGCCATTTGACAGAGGAGTGAAGAGGGTGCATCACCACCCCCACCCACCCACCCCCCTTCGGAGATATGCCTGAAATAAAACCAGCATACATATCAATGTATGCACTTTTGTTTCTAATTTTTTCTAATTTTCAACGTGCATATGATGATACGTCTTTTTCTTTCAAGTTATTCTGCATCATCATTATTTAGTGTTAACCAGCAAATATCACCATCCCTAAACAACAGAATAACTTTTGGTTTCACATCTCTAATCTGATTTTTTTACAAGTCTACTTTAAGAGTATCCAATCATCTGTCCTTTTCAACTCAGTTGAAAACTCATAAAGTTACTCCTTTAATTGGTTCAATTTAAACATTTAAAGTCATAAAAGTCATCATTAAACTTTGCCCCTGATTTCTTTATTGCCAATCCAACACTAAATTTGAGGTTCCCCTTTGCAGACCTGTTTACTCTTACGATTTTGGCGTACAATGTACGATTTTGAGGCCTAAATATTATATATACTGTGTTTTTTTACTATTCAGATAATGTATTGAACGATTTTGTGAGGATAGTGTACGATTTTAAGAGTTGGAAGGTAAACAGGTCTGCCTTTGCTTTCACATTCCCAAACTTGCCTGGCTGGACATTTAACAGTAAGAAAACAAAGCACACTCAACCATTTAACTACCGTGGCATGCATAACTGGGCATTTAACACAATTAGAAAACTCCACCTTTGACTGTACATTTGTGGAGCAACAGGGTGATAAGTATCCACATGATAAGTATCCAAGTATCCACATTCTAGTGTCATAACACCTTGCTTTTACATATTCTAATAATAAGATATATAACAGCATGTTCTCTAACCAAAAGATCATTCTCTAGTAAAAAACAGTAAGAACGTTTTTGATTTATCATCAATTGATTAAACGTCCATTTAAAGGGGCTAGGCACTAAAATTCCATATTTTTGCTTTTGAAACAAATAACCGGTTGTTGATTATTAAAAAAATTTAATGGAATTAATTCATCATAACTTATTATTATTATTTTAATAGTATTATTTATTTTTAAAAACAACATGCAAATGCAATGAAGAATAGAGGTATTAAAAAGTTAGGCCAATCGCTTTCACGTTGTCAGTTTACTATAGCAAACGTCAGGTCGGTCAGCTGATGTATATAAACAATGGAGACCGAAATATAGTTGGTGGGGTGTTGTTGGGAATGGAGAGAGCGATTGAGAGACAGGGAATGGAATCAGAAATCACAGTCGCGTAGTCTGCTATATTTTACACTGCTGTGTGAACACTGAACACGTTTGGGTAGGTACAGATGGCATTCATAGCAGTCGCTCAATAATAATGAAGACGTTAGGAACTACTTGGCACTGCTAGTACTAGTACCAAACTGAGATATCAAATTTAGGTACAGCTCTAACAATAGACTTTGTCTGCCACTAATATTCTAATAATAGGTCATCTGACCGTGTTGTGTAGAAAAGTTTAGAGCATATATCGCAATGGTTTGCCGAAAAAATTAACATCCTTTTTACTGTTATACTCATTTTGCTCCAGGGGGAACTTGACTTTCCCCGGGGAGGGGGGCACTGCCCCCCCAACCCACCCCGGCACCCCGGAGAGATGCCTGAAAGAAACCCTGATTGCAACTATTATTTTTATAATAATATTTATGCTTACAGTATTTTGGGAAACGGCTGCCCAAGGTGCTGGTAAATAGGTTTCTAACTGCGTTGAGGGCTGTGAATACAAGCCTTACCAGGATCACCCCTGTCTAGCTAGCTAGTGCTGTAACTGTGATGACCCTGCCTAGTTAGGCTGTGGTGAGATGAATGCAGTATTGCATATAACAAGGGTAGGCGATCCTATGCATTGTTTCTAAAGGTTGGGAGTAGATGCCAACAAATTGGCTCAAACTGTTTTATGGTATCCCCCCTTACTTGGCATCCCTGGGTTCAATAGTAGTCCAATTTTGGGGATCCTTGTGCCCACTAAACTAGTTGGTCTAAAGAGAAACTATAATATTTATTAAATACATTAAATTTATTTAAAGAATACTGTTAGCTGTATCAGGTATAGTATATGGTTTGTAGAAACAGAATATGTTTCAGAGAAAAGTTTTTCTGTGATATTTTTGGTTTTAAGTTTCTTGTGTGCACCATGACTGTTAATGAGTATTAACAATATCAATGTCTTTGTCATTGGAGTCACCAGTATACGAGGCAACATATTTTATATCCAAATGCATAAACTTGGATGGTTTGGATCAATGCATTAAAACATGTGTTTGGGCGTGCAGAGATCACTCTAACTCACCCCACCCAAGAGAAATTCTCTCATCAGCACACCACAAGGGACCAGTTATTCTTATCTTCAGTGTTAACAATCAGCATGGTTGGCATGGATACTGTGAGAGTCTTTTTAACGAAAGCCCCAGAACCTCTTCTTCTTATCCCACCTCTAATGGGACTCCACCACAAGAAGTGGGTTTTATTAGTTCACAAGGAATTTCTAAATTCGGTGGAAACGACAACGCTGACTCTGCACAGCCCACTTTGTGCAACAAAGCAGAATACTTTTTCAGAGACAAAAACAGTTGGCATCATTTCAATGTTAGGTGGCTGAAACATTTTCTAACATTTAACAAGCAAGCCTGCTTAAAATTTGAACACACGCAGCATTTGCTCCTCCCGGATGGAACCCCAGTAAATAATTCCCGTAACTGGCAGCTTGTTGAAGAGAGGGTTGGCAGGGAGCTCTGTGAATTGATTGATGAGCATCACCAAAAGTTGTCCATTTATAAACAGTTAAAGGAAGAGGAAAAGCTTGGGAGAAATGAGGAATCATTTTTCAAAGAAGAAGCGGCAACGTTAGGGACAGAAGTTTGTGGAGGGTGGACAGCTGTTATAAGAAAAGTGGAAAGAGATTTGGGCAAGGTGCACCTAGCTTGTCCTTTTGGCAGCCAAAGGTAATTATTCAATATCAATAATAAAATATTATTTAAACTTTACACCAAAGGAGCATATTTTTTCTTCTGCCCTGGTATTCATTTTCTATCCATTTTAACTAAATGTAGTTAAATAAATAAGAAAATAAGTGTGGATAATTTCTTGTTCCAACATATTGTCTATCATTTTTTAAAATGAAAAACCAGCAAAGAACAACAATTTTAAACTTTTTACCTATACCTTTTAAAATTTAAAACTTAAACAAGTGCTATAAGTCTGGCATCATCATGCGTTGGAAAGTAGAAGAAATTCTTTTGAGAAGTTCAGATTAAAAAAACACTTTTGAAACATCTCTTAAAATATGTATATTTCATATTCAAAATGGAGTGTTTAATTTTGTCTTCCTTTTAAACAAGATACAACTGCAGCCTGCCAGAGAGTGACAATGATGTTTTTATTGTGTATCAAGCTAAAACCACACAGGTACTCAGCCTCGATCCACCAAGACAGACAATTAAGGTAATTAACTTAAGCGACAAAATATGGTTTGCCTAATTAATATATACAATATCCGATTATCTTTATAAACTTTATAAGTTAAGGTGCTGGCTTTACAATTCAAATTTAAATTTTAGAAACGTTCACTAATATAGGTCATCGCTTTTATGTTTTCATTGGTTATGTCCACCTCTTATTTTTAACTTTTATTGCTGTTAAAACTTGGGTATTTTTTTTTTTTTGCTTTGTTTTACCCCAGAACAGTGAACGAGAACTTGTTGACTACACTGTTTTAGAACTCCAGCGTTACTGTGAATTACTGCTGGCAGGTGATCAAAGATGTATTGAAACTCTGTTTTTAGAGGAGACCAAAGCTGTGGCCTTGTCAACCTGTCAGTGGAGACAACTCTGTAAACTGAGGCATCATTTGCTTAATAGGTAGTAAAGGAAATTCAGCTTTTAACAGAGGGTTGTTTTTTCCCATAATGAAACATCTATGTTTGGTGTTTTTTTACACCCAATGCTAATATGATACTTTGGGGCTATATTTTTTATATCATTGCTTGACCATTCAAAAGAAAGAAGAAGAAAACATGATATTTGCAGTTACCTTTAAAGAGAGAACCAACAAAAAAAACTACAGATTTTTCAATTTTGAATCTTAATGTAGGGCATATGACTACGCCAGAATTACATACCCTATTTGCTCTAGACATACATTCCATTACATCTTTTTATAAAGAGTAAATCATTAGTATTGCATGTCAGATTTGAGCATAATTCAATTGTGCTGTTGTTTCCTAGGTCTTGCTTTGACAAGTATATGAAGGAAGCGCAAGGAAATACTGGGCTCAAGCAACTGCAGAAATGGAAAGATAACAACCCGGTTGTTGACCAATTGACTCCAAAACTTAATAAATTGAGCTACATTTCTATCAGGCTTCTTCAGAATGCTAGGTGAGGACATATACGTATATAGCAAAATGTACATGTTATACATGTTATATATACATACGCTTGAAATTTATATGTAGTTTACTGGTAAGTATTGGAGATAAAGTCAGTAGAAATTTTAGTCTGCATCTTATGCTCATCCTGAACCAAACTTTTCAGGTCTAAACCTGTGAACTGAGTGCATTCGTTTTACTCTCCGCTTCGTGATGGTCCCAGCTTGACCTTTGCGCTCAGTTGCCGAATCACCGGAAGAGTCTCATGTTTCAATCTAGGCAACGGAGTGCACCCCTCTGTCGTTCCTCTCCTTTTTTTGCTGCTCCCATTTGCTGAATCGACCCCGAACGTTTTAACTCGCAACTAAAATTTCTCCCAATTTACTCTCAGCAAGTGATTAGACCAGCCTCAAAAATGTCCATCAACACTTGTTTTGCTGTTAATTTATAGTGTCAATCTATCATCCATCGATCCATCTTTCAACCCACCCGTCGGCCTGTCTGTCTACCTGCCCTAAATTATGTTTTTGTCATTAGTCATCTTCAATGTGCCACTTACCGTAGAGTTATCACAAGTCTTTCTCTTGAAGACAAAGGTTTTCGAAAATTCGTTATTCTTTTCTCAATATGAGGTCCAATGTGATCAAGAAGGATTTGAAAAGTTTCAGGGCGCATCCGAATATAGGAAACACATTTTTCTTCATCTCTTAAAACTTCATCCAGAAGATGATGCTATTCTCCAAAATCACCTCTTCGTAAAAAAATTCTGTGTGTCCAGTAACGTTTTGGGGTTCGACGTTTCCTTTTCATCCAAAACAGTAAGAGCAATTGCAAAGCCTCCATTATTATTCCACCTAGTGGAACCCAAACTGAGCAAAATGGCGCAATGTGTCGCCAGTGAGGTTACAAAAATGTAACACATTCGTTTCTCTTCCATTTTCTTGCCGATCGTCGAAATGGAGACAAAAGAGAAAGGAGTGCAAAACGAATGCACTCAGTTCACACCCTTAGATTGCAATAATCACTGATGTGGACTCCTAATAATCAGCAGGCACCAGCTCATACGAGTGCTATTTTTTAAATTATTGTTTGTTTTGTATTTCAAACTTTCTCATATATTCTTCCTAATATTCCCCTTAGACCTGTGGTTTCCTGAAATCTTTGGGGTTCCCCAAAAGACATTTGCATACATTTAAATTGCTGGCTATAACTACCTTATAGTTCACAGATGTAAAAAAAAAGAGAGGGTGGGGTAGTTACCCAAGAAAAAAAGTTAGATTCTGAAAAGATGCACCTAGACCAGGGGTCGGGAACCTGCGAGCCAGATGTGGCTTTATTGATGGCTGCATCTGGCTTGCAGACAAATGTAAAGATACGAAATACTCATTGTTTAGCAACAGCATAACAATGCTATTAAAACGAATTCAGAGACATAATTATTGCATTTTTAGTGTTGCAATTACACAAAATGCACATATTTCCTTGAATTTTTAGTTTTAAACATAATGTATGGCTCTCACAGAATTACTTTTCAAAATATGTGGTGTCCATGGCTCCCTCAGACAAAAAGGTTCCCCACCCCTGACCTAGACTAGTTTATTTTAAGAATCTCTGTTTAGTCCTGGATAAATCAACTGAAACTAGCACATTATCTACACTGTTGTCTTTTTTAATTTTATGGGGCATACTTGTCAACTTCATTGTTTAGCCTAATGTTTTTCTTTACAAAAGCTTTCATTTCAGAGTTCATCAATTTCATTTGATAGCCCCCACTTCTTTATATATTTTATCTATCCAGAGATTTGGTAGCCTTGAAAACATTGAAAGTATACAGAGATGAAGATTCTGTGCAGAGGAAAGAATTGCTGGATGTCAGACAGGGCAAGTACAGCTACTCCGAGTTGATGGGACTTGTTGAAAGGTTAGGGGATGATTTTTTTAGATCTAATTGGTTTAATCTTTCTCTCTCAATGAACTGGCATTATTTACTTTGAGCAACCAACTTCTAAATATTTATCAAAAGAGTGTTAGTCAGTGGAGGGAAAACTCATTAATTGGCACATGGTCATTGTTTTAGAACACTCATCTGTTGGATCAGGTCTCATTGCTTGGCACATGGCCATAGTTTTAGAACACTCAACTGTTGGATCAGGTCTCCTTGCTTGGCACATGGCCATAGTTTTAGAACACTCTTCTGTTGGATCAGGTCTCATTGCTTGGCACATAACCATAGTTTTAGAACACTCAACTGTTGGATCAGGTCTCATTGCTTGGCACATAACCATAGTTTTAGAACACTCTTCTGTTGGATCAGGTCTCATTGCTTGGCACATTGCCATAGTTTTAGAACACTCAACTGTTGGATCAGGTCTCCTTGCTTGGCACATGGCCATAGTTTTAGAACACTCATCTGTTGGATCAGGTCTCATTGCTTGGCACATGGCCATAGTTTTAGAACACTCATCTGTTGGATCAGGTCTCATTGCTTGGCACATTGCCATAGTTTTAGAACACTCTTCTGTTGGATCAGGTCTCCTTGCTTGGCACATGGCCATAGTTTTAGAACACTCTTCTGTTGGATCAGGTCTCATTGCTTGGCACATAACCATAGTTTTAGAACACTCAACTGTTGGATCAGGTCTCATTGCTTGGCACATGGCCATAGTTTTAGAACACTCATCTGTTGGATCAGGTCTCATTGCTTGGCACATGGCCATAGTTTCAGAACACTCATCTGTTGGATCAGGTCTCATTGCTTGGCACATGGCCATAGTTTTAGAACACTCATCTGTTGGATGCGATCTCATTTGCTTGCCAAGTGGTCACAGTCCTAGAACACTCTTCTGTTGGATGAGGTTCAGGCTTGTCAATTGTAAAAAAATCATTGCCATAATCTTCACTCAGAAAACTGACCAGAATTTACATTGCAGGTGTGCAACACTTTCAAAACATTAATCAAGATTGTGTTTTTTATTTCCTACATTCTGTGTTGCAATTAATTCTTTGCCATTGCACATATCCATGATCAAGAATATCTGTATTATTAATTTAGATTGAATTTTTGGACTCATGTGTTTACAGTGTGTAAATATAAATGTTTAGTAAAATATATTACCCATTTTTAGACAGTGTGTAACACTTATTCTTTTATATTTTTGTTTAGCTACTTGAGAGAAATTGAGAAAAGTGAGGCAAACTTATCGGATGTTGATATGGCAGTGGCCAAAAGAAAAGTTGAGAACTGGTTGCTGATGTGTAGAATACAAGACTTAGACATTAACCCATACCAGCCAGCTGATCAGAACTTGTGAACAGATTTTTAGTTTAATGTCTTGGGTTTGAATTGTTATAACTGTAAAATGTTGTCTGTGTTCAAATATGTATTTATTTGTATGCTAAAAATAAATATGTACAATGTGATAAAAAAAATCAATTTATTTAGATTAATAAAATAATCTTATCTTATTTTCTGAAACTAGTTAAATATAATTACAAATTGAAACTTAAACCATGCAACAATTATTGTTCAAAAATAAAATGATAAAAAGTAACATTTTTTAAAAACATTTTATTGTGAAAATCTATTTAAAAAATAATTAGTGTAAATTGATATATGAATTGTTTGTGCATATCAAAACACTTTAAAAAACTTGTTTTCACATCATTATGTTGATGTCAAGTAATGGTTCTGATACAATTAGACACAATTATTTTACCAACAGACTAGACTGTATAAGCTTAGCTGTTGTTAAATACATTTTTTTAATATAATTGTTAATTTTTTTCAAATTAAAAAAAAAATTAATTTTGAAAAGACCTTACTTGCCTCGTCTGTTAAAACTCTTAAACACATACCATGTTTATTGACCAAAGGCTCTTTGTCTCTACTGTTATCTTTATTGACCACTTCAGAACATTTATGTTTATCTGACCAGCTCATAATCTATTGATTGGTTGTGTATTGATTAATTACATTTTCATGTATTCAATTTTTTAATATTTTTTTAAAATCTAAAATTTGAAGGAATGTTTTGAAAAGAAAATATTGCATAAAACTGTCTTTCCTGCTACAGAGGGATACACAATTGTTGAATGAGCATGTAATAACGAACACATGGAAAAATTCAACATTTTTATAAGCTTTAGAAAGAAGAAAAAAATTTTTTAATATACCCTTAAAAATAAACATGTTGATTTCCCTATCAAAGATGTGTCTCAAAAAGTCAGTGCTAAAATGCATTCATGGAATTTAAAGAAAACAGGGGACAAATGTACACATTTTACAAAGATTTTGAAACCTTTCAGTTAAATAAATTGTGCTGTATTATAATATTCAACAATAAATTGTCAAATTTCAGTAGAAGTTATTGGTTTAATGAAAATAAAAATTCAACCTATTTTTAAAATAAAATCCCTTTACTACATAAAATTTTTGTCCTGTGATACATAATTTTGACATTATAAATATTATTGATGATTTATACAAAGAAAACACATGGATTTTATGAGTTTTATGATTTTTTGCCTTATTAATAAACAGCCATTTTACCCTTTTTAAATTGACTTCAGTGTTGTTGGTTTTGGTTTTTAACTTTTGATGTCATTTTTCACCAGTTCCCAGATTTATTAAAGCTTTATTTGGTAGACAACTTAAGCATTTTTATCTTTCAAATTTTGATGCAGATCAGACACATGACTTTTGAAATGATACATTTTTAAGTGTTGGTTGAAACGAAAAATCAATTATACGCTATTAGTTGGATCTTGTTATATATTAAAAAGTATTAGCAATTATTCCACTCTTAGTGCAAGCAGTCAGGGCTCATGGGCCATGGCAACTAGAGTTTGTGAAGGTTACAGGAAACAAAATAATACTGAACTTTTGATGTGTAACTGTTTCATCAATGTCCACATTGCAACATTTTTCTTGTAGAAGAAAAATTAAAGAGACTTCAGAATAATGAGAAAAAAACCCTCAAAATATAGCCATAATTGTTTTATTTATTTACATTTTTTTAATGCTCTTTACTTTCCATCAGCTATGCTGCGAGTTGATTAAAAAATCATATCCGAATAATCATCACAATGAATCGGTCTCCCTTATTGCCTTAGAATAATTTGAAAGGTCAATGCTGAATAAAATAATGCACAGCATGCATGGGCGCCCGCAGAAAACTTTCTAGGGGGGGGCCAAAAAAATCAATTAACTTTCCAGGGGGGGCAAAAAATTTTTAGTAATGTTTTAATATAGTTTTAATTTACTGTAGCCTATTTGTATGGTGACCAAACGGACAGGACATCAGCTTAGTTACTTTCTCTTTATTTTCTCTTTACTTTAATAAATTTTTTGTCTATTTTTGTCTAAACATTTTTTATCCAATCAATCCAGGGGTGGGCAAATGCCCCACCTTGCCACTACCTGCGGGCGCCCATGACAGCTGGGATTTTATATACCGGTAGTATTTTAAAAAAGATGGCCCATAATCTTTTTTGGTCAACATTTTTACTAAAATAATTGCTAGAGTTGGAAAAATGAATTGTTTCCAACATCAATACTGGCACACGACATCATGCAAGGTGATAAACAAGTGATTAAATACACTCTCCAATGCTGAAACATTTTATCAGAAGAAGTAGGCCAGTCTACTTGGAAACTGTGATAGGCTTACGGCTACCAATATTCTGGTACTCTGTGTCATACATTTTAGGTGCTGTGTAGATGGACTTTGTGCTCGCCTCTGGCAACTTGAAAGGAGTATCCACAGGACAGTAGTAATTCTCTTTCATGTTTACATGGGATGGAACTTGGTAGGAGACATCGTACAATGACTTCAGACCCCTGATGAAGGAAAATCCAAAACATGTACCAGTGATGATTATTGCTTTTAACTATTTTCTAATCGTAAACAGAAAAAAATGTTTTAAAAGTATTGTAGCAAGCCTGATTAATAAGACCTTTATTTATAAAAGACCAGCAATGAAATGACTTCAGTATGTATGAAAACTTACGTATGGGGCACTGGGATTGGAGCCTTGGGTAGTCGAGGAATTTTTGTGGCAGTTTTAAAAACCATTTCATCTCTCATTGGTAACCTGTCTCTTGGAACATTATCTTTAGGCAGTGGGCTGGCAGATGATAAATTTGACATTATAAATACATATTTTCTCTAGGCAGGGATCTTGAAAATGCAACAATGCACGCTAACAGTATTCTCCTCAGGAGCTCAAGAAGTAATTAAAATTATATCTCACATGAATTAACACAAATTATTTTTTTGTATATTATTATCAATAAGTACTATATTATGCCAATAGCATGCATACACATAATTAAAGAGCTGTTTTAGATTAAATTTATTCAATTCAGACAGTCTGCCAAATGCAAATTAAAAGTCACAATGATAATTTTTGGTTCATACAAGTGGAAATAGTATTGCTGATACTACTAAAGAATTTAAATTCTGTAAAATTAAAGTGATCCTACATTGCAGTTTCAAATAACATAAGCCCTAAATTACCTTTATCTTTACTTAAAATTTTACCCAAAAAATGAATAGTTTATATAACAATAACTGCACTCATAAATGTTTTTATAAATCTGGTAACATCGAGAATACATATTATTATGAAACTCACTTATGGTGAAGCCCATGCCCCCACGCTTTTGGGTAATTTTCACATTCCCAGAATGTTGGAACATCTTTCTTTGGGTAGTCACTTAGTTCAGCTGGGGTGAACATCCTGTGATCCCTTTGTGTAGTGCTGAGGTAGGGATCAAGAATGTTGAGAACACCTTTGTCCTTAACATAGAAAGGCTTGCCTTGAAGTTTTGGATTCTGTGTGCTAGCAACTCCAACCTGTTTTCAATGAGACACCAACTGCATATTTTATTTATTGTAAATTTTAAGGTCTTCAGTTTTAGATATGTGCAAATCTCAGAATAAAACTTTGTAGCAGAAAATATTTCTCACTGCTTAATAAATGGTTCTATTTTTATGAAACAGATGCACAAAAACTATCAGTCATTATTGCTATAATTGTGTAAATAAACAATGTATATTTATATTATGTTATGTAGTACACTTTTCCCTGTGCTTGAACTTTGTTTCACCCCACATTAGATTCCTAGCAGACGGTAGCGTTTGTTGTGGGCATGGCTTAGTCTTTGAAGTATCGTGTTTTCTACCGACGTCCAATTAAACATGGGTAGTATGTCTACTAGTATGTTGTGGAATGATCGCGATTTGTTCTAGAAATGTAAACAAATGCTGAGTAGTTTCTGGAAGGCAGTGCTTACGCTGCATATATAAAGGGATTGACAGACACAGAGAGGGGAGAGATTCAGATAGATATTATTAACTTTGTGAGACAACTGTATTATTCTTTGTGTGCTCATATGTGTTTATTTCGGATTCATCATTCATCATTATTAATTGGCACATTTTACTAATTGTGTACCGGTACAAGATTTTCCGATACTCTGTAAGTTGATGATTTGTAATTATATTTCTTTTGTAATTGTATTATTACTAAATTAAATATTATTAATTGTAATTGGTACTGCTTTGGGTGTCGTATTTTTGTTATTGTATTTCTCTATGGTATCGTCCTTTGTTAGGCACTGTTTGAACGAGCCATAAAATTAAAATAGGAGATTAATTTCTCACAAAAGAAGCCAGTGCGTAACAATTATATTCTGGGGGCAATATAAAATCAGGGGCTGCTGGATGTTGCATGCTGTTTGGGGTTTGTGCATGCCTGGTGTATATCATTGAAACTTTGAATATTTTCAGTCACACTTATTTGCCCAGAAATGCATATATAATATATCTTAAAGTCATTTTTTTAAAACATCTTAAATAATATATGTTTTTACCCATGCAGTTTAATTTCTCTGCCTAAGCAGATTGTCACTGCTCAAAAGATATCCAGACAGGCTCAGGGTATTAGAATTACATTACCTTTGATGGTCCTTCTTTATGATGGTCCTGAAGTGTAAAGTTCTGTGGATGAAAGACCTCCTCAAACTTATATTTATCTCTAACTTCAGGTGGTTTTGCTTGGTACTGGTCCTTCATTTCACTTAGCTGATTGCCCATTGTAAGAGGTCGACGCCAGCCACCTTGTCCAAGCTACAAGAAATGTATTTATTAACTTCTTAGAACAAAAAGTAAATATCAATTTGCTGACACTATGAGAAAATACAATTTGCACTAAAGTGGGCCTCATGGGGGAGAATCTGAAAGTCAGATTACCCAATCTTGCTTAACCAGTTTTTGCCCCTTTTCAGAGATCTAGAAATCTAAATTTTTAAGAAAGGTATCCCAAAAACCCCAATGAAAGGTAATATTGGATGGATATGACTTTCTCAACACAAAGTTTTAATCTTAAATCATAATAAATTACAGCTAATCTAATCATTCACAGAGAATACTCTGTGAAGATGTTATCCCTTGTGTTATTAATAGTATACATATCTAAAAATTCCCTAAATGTACCTTCTCTGTGAGATCCTTCATATATGTAACCTTCCAGTGCCCTGGGGCCTTCTTATGTTCAGGATCTTTGTACAACAGACCTGGGTATTTTCTATCATGGAAATATTCCTTTGTTGTTAAAAATGGTTTATCATTTGTCACTTCATCTTCTTTAGCTAGACTGGGTGGTAAGGGCTCTCTCAGCAAAGTCTAATAGAGTTGTCAAAACAGATGTAGTTCATATAAATGAAGGTTTTTGCTGCTTTTATTTTCATTTGTAAATAGATTAACATTGATCATTGAACATTTTAAATACACATTCAAATACAAGTATGTATATGCCTTCAATGTATACAAAAAGATTCCTACCAGTAGTTGAGACTCATTAATTTAGAAATTAATATTCTGTTACTCTTAGTCTTAGGTTTTAGTTTTAATTATTTAATTATGATCAGAGTTAATCATCAAACAATCAAATTAATGTTCAATAAAAGTAATATACGCTAAGTAGACAAGTAAGCCCAGACTTAATCTTATTATTATTCAATTAAAATTTCTAGTTAAGGATATGGTTAATATAAATAGTTTTAAAAATACACCAATTATTTACACTAAAAGTTTACAAACCTTAAATTCTGAATCTGGAAAGAAGTAACCTGGTCGGTAGTGGTGACCAACTCCAGTACTAGTCAAGTGCCAGTTTTTTGCATCCTGACGCTCTCCATATTTAACCTCTTGGTGCATTTTAATCTATGTCTAGTTATTTAATAAAATATAAATATTCTGAATAAATAAGGTCTTCCCCCGCAAACACATTGAGCATGCACTTAAAATGGTTTCATGTTCCTTTTGGGCCATGAACATCTTCCATTTATTTGGTTGCTAGGTGAAACACAATAATACTTAGCTTCCGGATCCTGTTTAACGCTACATTTAAAAATAACGCATTTGTAAATAAAAAATTAAACAAAATTAAAACAAAAAATAATTTTAATTTATTAACAAAATATATTCTTGCCTTCATTAAATATTTATTTAAAAAAATGAAATGTGTTTAGTGATTGGCCGTGCATACATGGGCGGTATCATGACTTTTTTTATGCATATAGAAATAATACGTTAAAACGCGTCAATTAGTTAACCCACTGTTTCTCTTAAATAATATTGACTTTTGTTTCTATAAAATCAAATTGAACCACACATTTCTTAGCCTAATTTCGGTACTCTATTTTTGTTTCCAGATCTTAGACTTAAATGTTTAAGTAAAGCAAATAAGCATAATATCTGTTATACAAACAATTTTAAATCTTAAAAATTAGTAGATGTCTATGTTTGGGAGAATCCGCTTTATTTTTATAAACACCAAGTTGGATGGGCATTCTAATTTGATTGAGCCTTTTTTTTCCGCTGTTCCAAATACTCAGCTGCAAAACGGGACAACAACAAAGTAGGCTCTCACGAGATTACATTCACTGAGTATTGCTGGACGTGTGTTATGGTGTAGCCTGACAAAGCAATTGTTTATAGATCGGATACCTTCCAGTGAAAACGGATTCATGCAATGGTAATTATTTCCCATCCCTTCAAGTCAAGGATCTTGCTGATCCGCTGAAATAAAAATAATTTTAATTGTCTAACTAAATACTATTTAATAGTAGGACTCAAATATCAAATAGTAAATAGTAAATAGTCAAATAGAAATAGAGTACAGAATAGTATAGGCCAGGATTAAATAAGCTGCGGCTATTGGACGTAAACTACCAATAACTTCTACTTTTAAGGAGCTATTTGTAGTAAAGTATCAATGCTTCTAGAGAGCTATTGGCATTGGTACTTCACTACCAGTAGTTCTTAAAGTTTCTATGTGGCTACCAGTAGGTAGCTTCTACTTAGAACTTCTATTATAAATATCTACTAAAATGTAGTCCTTAGGCGTCATAGGTACGGTATTGGTAGCCACTGAAATCACTCTTAAGTACTAAGTAGGTTTAGGCCTTAGGCTTAGTAAAAAAAAAACATGTGCCAATGTTTTAGACAGCTGTCTGGTCGTGGATCACTTCAAACAATTTTGTGTGTGTCTAGTCTCATAAATTCCCTCCAAATCAGATTTTCAAGACATAATATTAATGCACTTATTGATTGTTCTTTGTAAATATTTTACCTTTACTTACTGCCAATGATGCATTGCAGCTTATGTTTTCATCAGATTCTGTGCAGTTAAAAACATTGATTCTGCATAGTCTTCAAAAATAAATAGTTAGGTATTCCTAGACTTAGACGCTAAATTAATTTGTGTCATATCATATATACAGTATACAGATACACAATTTTCCAAATGAAATTTTTAAACAATATCGATGCCTTTATAAGTTAATGAGTTCTCATCTGTTTAAATAATGCTCACTGGGCCTGTCACCCAACAGAAAATCAATAACTAATAACAGTACAGGAGGGGGGGAGAAAGATAGGTGACGTGACCTAAACAGAGATTGGTCAAAGCTTATGTTGTCATCTTTAAGCCTAATAACGCTAGTGTACCCTTTTCATTTAACTAAAGTAACAAGATTTTTTTAATATGCACACTTCGTATGCTGTAAATTATGGTAATTATAGTTTATAGACATATTTAGGCCTATATTTTAATTTATAACTTTCATCATGATATTTAACACAAACATTTTTTACAGCTGAATTTTATTTTTACAGCACATATTACCTCTGCAATAAATTTCAGACTATGATCCTCTTTCCCCCAGTATCTATATTATAAAATTTAATTATAAAGCAATATAGCCAAATCTCAATATATGAGGAAGGCTACAGCAGACAGCATTAATACAGTACAGTAGATTTTATAATTAGCGCTGAGGTGTTGTCATTAGTACAAAGTAGTAATAAATTAACAGGGTATTACTTCGCCAGCATCATTGAAAGTGAGTTTTTAATGTTCCAATTTTGGTTTGATTTTATTGGCTGGACTACCAATAGCTCTCTCGAAGCTATTGGTAGTCAACTACTAATAGACACTTTCTAGCAATAGTAATAGGCAATTCAATACTTGTCAAAAGTCCTTTAATAGTTAGTAGTAGAGAAATGGATTGGCATAGCAGTAATTTAATTGCAGCTTTGACTTTGAATGAATACTTTGATTTTGATTTGAATTGATGTTTCTTGAATGATTAAAAAAATTAAAATAATAAGTTAAATAATAAATCACTATGCATTTACAGACATGACAAAGTAGCCTACATTAGACTTGGACACTTACTAAAACCTAGCTAATCTTTGTAAATTTAGTAAAGTCTAATCTTACTCTGTAAATACCAAATTCTATTTAGTCTACGTGTAAGTCAATTATTATTAGTAATACTAGTAATATGCATTAGTATACAGATTAAAAAGTGAATGAATTTTCTAATTTTTGTTCTTCCTCTCCTCAAATTTGTTTGTAATATGAAAACAAAAAATATTGCACACTTTGGATATAAAAATATTCTAAATATATTTTCAGGTAGCCAGGTAACTCAAAACTTACAAAGTTTTTAAATATGTTGTTTCTGATATCAGTGTAAATATACATTTATTTAGTTTAGTCAGTGCTCATTTTTATTAGTTAAAAAGATCCGGGCTATGTAAGGAAAAGATATAAAATTTGCATTGTTAATTGTTTCTGAGAATCCAACTTTAGCCAAATTTTAAAAATTTACTAATTGTAATATTAATATGACAAGTGCATAATGGTGGGTTTTGAATTTACAATTCTAAAAATACGGAAACGGTGTAGCTTGTTCTTGATATAAAATAGCTAATTATTTCTCTGTGACAAAGTGTTGGGAACATGTTATAAAACATGTATTAAATGGTTAAGCTTTCATTGGGTACCAACAAATACTTTGTATGTTTGATATTCGATTTATGAGCCATTTTTTAATTGGCAAATTGGGTTGTGTACTATAGTAATATTATAGCCGGAAGTAAACAATGACATATACAGAATAAAGCTTTTACATTTTTTATTCTAAAAATGCGGAAACAGGTGGAATCATTGTTGTCACTTATTTTAGAGCTCATGCTCATAGCCTAAACATCTTGCATTCCCAACACATCTTGCATAGCTAGTTCATTTAAACAGTAAAAAATATTCTTGGCTGGTACTGGCTTAGTATTAGTACTCTTACTAAAAAGTGGAATTAAAGGTGGGAAAAAGCTGCAAGGGGAAATAAGCAATATTGTTAACATTAGATACAATATTTATAGATTTGTCTCAATTGGGAAATTTCAAAGAATTGTGAGACAAATATATCTTTTTAGTTTCAGTATTGCTGTACATGACATTTTTCTAAAAATAGCAAATCTAATTACCCCTAATGGTTTTACATTTTGCTATATATTCAAGTGAAGCTGTTTGCTAACTTAATATATTTTGTAAAAGTTCAATTAGATTATTACCTACTTTTATATTATTCATTATATAACCATAGACATACATCATATGTTTTTTTTAAATTTATAGTTTTGATATTAAATAAAACATGGAGTTTGATGATCTACTTTTGTGTAAGTTTTATTTACTGAACAAATCCATCTAAACAAAATATTCATGTTTCTCTTATGAATATTTTGTTTTGTCACTTAACCTTAAAACTTGTAAGTTTTATTGTTTATTCTGTTCTCCTTCTCTTAATGAACATTCAATCATAATATGGCTGTAATTGTAAAAGTTTGAATAGAGCAAAATGATGTAAAACAAAGCTGCATTGATATACTTTTTCTAACATTTGACCTCATGATTGAGAAAAGAATTAAATATGGAGTTTTTCTTTCAGTATTATGATAAGTTTAGTCATAAGCAAATATATTGAAATAAATTATTATTGGCTGAAAAATTCAAGGTTTAAACACTTTTATCATATTGCTTCACAAAAATTGTAGCTCTTTGTTTTTCAAACTATTTAGAAAATACTTGATTAAAAAAAAAAGTTATTAAATGAAAAACATTTAATCTTTTTAACATTTTGGCATATTCTGTTGTAAAGAAATAAAGTCAGGAATTATTCGGCTTGTCTTTAAACCTTAAACTTTGTATCCATTCATTAGTTTTGTCTTGAAACTATTTAAAGGAATTAGACACACATAAAGATACGGCTACTGGGTGTGTATCTTTGATTTGGATATTCAGCGATTTGATCACAACATTGCATGTTGACTGACAAATTTAAGATTTCGTCTCTCAACTTCACCCTTTGAAACATGTTCACTTGTTATTTGAAGTGTCTGTGTAAGCAATTAAAAACAATTTAGGTCTGAAATTTTAGAAATGTATTAAACCAAAGATAGGGATTTAAAAACATTTTCAGCACTTTCAAATCCCTGTCACACAAAAGACAACACTGACAGCACTAATTACATACATTTTTTGATCATTAATATATCATATTCACTTCAGTTCGTGTGTTTTCTGTGCTTAAGGCAAAATATTCAGACGGCTAACTGACTCACTTCAAATCCTCTTATTGAACTGAGACTTGTTGCAGATGACAACGCCTTCTTTCAAATTTTCAGCCCCAACCCCCAAAAATCAGTGTTAACTGTTTTTCAAGGGGAAAGATATTATATGAAATGTGATTTGTTTAATGGTTGCATGTTTTGGTGTGGAGATTAATTGTGCAGCTTTTGCAGTGTGTTTTCTATTTGTGACTTATTTGGGCATGCAGTAAAAATAGTTTATTTTTGAAGGGGGAAAATGATGGAAATATGAAATGTGTTTTTTGCCAGAAGTTTCCCCATATACATAACTGCTTCCTAATCAATGGTAAATCACATAGGATTACAAAAATTGCAACACAAATGCACACAAAACATTTATACAAAAAACTTGTTTTTAGGGGTTGTTTAATTTAAAATATATATAGACTATATTTTTAAAAAATTTGCTTTAAAAAAAAGGTGCATTACCTGTAACTAAAAATTTTTTTTTTTCTATTTGCTAAAAAAAAATGCATTACCTGTAACTAATAAAAAAATTTTTTTTTACAATTGTCTTATTTGAAGAAGCACATTTAAATTTAATTTGTGAAGAAAAAAAAAGTATTTTAATTTAGCTTTTACTTCTTTACAGTTTAATAGAGTTTTCCTCTCCACACAGGTATTATTGATGCACCAGCAAACATGAGAAGCAACTTGAGCATCTTGAGTGGGATCTGTCCCAACTGCCAGAAGAGGTTGTTCTTTGCAGAGCACGAGGCAAGTGTGGAGTGCACAGGATGTGGCCAGAGGCATACTCAGGGCAAGTTAAGGAACTTGGAGAGGGTGCCGGAGGTAGGAGTAACAATGACTCAGTTTGTTCTCATGTGTAGGAGTGCTAGTGATGCGTCCTATGTTGTTTGTTCTCATGTATAGGAAAACTAGTGATGCATTCTATGTTGTTTGATCTCATGTGTAGGAAAGCTAGTGATGCGTCCTATGTTGTTTGATCTCATGTGTAGGAATGCTAGTGATGCGTCCTATGTTGTTTGTTCTCATGTGTAGGAGTGCTAGTGATGCGTCCTATGTTGTTTGATCTCATGTGTAGGAAAGCTAGTGATGCGTCCTATGTTGTTTGATCTCATGTGTAGGAATGCTAGTGATGCGTCCTATGTTGTTTGTTCTCATGTGTAGGAGTGCTAGTGATGCGTCCTATGTTGTTTGTTCTCATGTATAGGAAAACTAGTGATGCATCCTATGTTGTTTGTTCTCATGTGTAGGAATTCTAGTGATGCGTCCTATGTTGTTTGTTCTCATGTGTAGGAATGCTAGTGATGCGTCCTATGTTGTTTGTTCTCATGTATAGGAAAACTAGTGATGCATCCTATGTTGTTTGATCTCATGTGTAGGAAAGCTAGTGATGCGTCCTATGTTGTTTGATCTCATGTGTAGGAGTGCTAGTGATGCGTCCTATGTTGTTGGTTCTCATGTGTAGGAATTCTAGTGAAGCGTCCTATGTTGTTTGTTCTCATGTGTAGGAATACTAGTGATGCATCCTATGTTGTTTGTTTTTATGTGTAGGAATACTAGTGACTTCCCCTATATTGTTTGCTGTCAAAGGTAGCAATAATGACAGTTGTCCCCATTTGTAGAATTAACTGGGCAAACTGTGTTTAGGCTTTAAGGAATGTTTATAAAAGTCTCATGATAAGACCCTAACTACTTAATTTCCTGCCATCTTGTCATCACCTTCTTCTTTGTCATATTATTTTTAATTTAATTAAGTTGTAGGACTTGGGTTTTCTCAGCTTTTGTGGATGGATGGAGTGTTACTCACCATTTTATCTTATAATATTTTGTGTTAAAATAATGCCTCTGGTATATGTCAGGATGAGGAGGAGAGCTGCATTACTTTAAGCATATACGATGTAGTTTCAGTTAAGATTCTGGGGTGCAACATTCATTTTCGTTTGTAAAGTCAGAAATAATTTTGGGTGTGTAAAAATGGGAAAGCTGTGTGTCAGAATTTTGTACACGTTACAGGATGGAGTAGTTAAAGAATCTATGTGCTGGCCAGCTCAGTAATGCATGGCACATCATGTGCATAAACTTTATTTCAGCAAATGAGTGGTGTGTTTGAAGCCATAGAGACTTTGCTCCAGAAGTTGAAGCAGAGTGAATCTGAACAGAAGCCGAACATAGACCAAGTATCCTTGAAAGTAAATGGATTGTCCAACTACCTGTGTGCCATTCTGTCCCCACTGCTTACAGACTACGGTATGGACAAAGCCACTGGACGGTGAGTAAAGCGGAACTTAACTGGATAATGAAATATCATAATTTCAATGTCATGATTTCTTGCACAAGAATTTTTATTGCACTAGTTGGAGATTTAAATATATAATGAATAAGCATATTTTAAATTAACTATTTTGAAAATGTGTCTAACTGTACTAGAGTATTTTCATGACTTAGATACTCTCATAGAACAGCTTCTTCTTTAATTTTTTTTTTTTTTTTTTTTTCTTTTTGTAGGTTTTTTTTTTGAAATTATTTTTTTTTTTTTTTTTTTTTATTTTTTTTTTTTTTTTTTTTTCCATTTTGAAGGATCTTTTTCAGAAATTAATTGTTTTTATTTTTTCTTTATAAAAGGGCCAAACTCTTAACAGAAATGGGAAAAGGGCAAATCTTTGACTGCGCCCAGCTTGGAGACAGAGCTTTTCTAATAGAACCTGAGCATCTCTCTATGCCTGGCTATGGTCAAGATCGCAGTGGAAGCTATGACTATCTGAGGGACACATTAAATTTGATTAAGGTGATTTTAATTAGGTTTTTTCGAAAATTACTCATTATTTTAGAGCTGAAATTTTTTTAATGTTATTTTTATTTCTTACAAAAAAAAAAGTTTTTTTAACAAAATCTTAATTTGAATATCTGTATTTATTATTTGGGACAATAGTTTGTTGTATATTGAGTTGATAACAGTATGTACTATCAGAATCTGGGAGAATAGTTTTTGCTATATTGAATTGATATTTGTATTAATATTATTTTTGGTCCCTTCGCATGCCAAGATGGCCACGGAAATGTGCCACTTGAGTTGTAGCCTTGATCTGAGCTGTATTTTGTTTATTGTGAGGGAGCCTCACTTTCTAGTCTTTGTCTATTTGATCTAGTGACAAGACTTAGTCAAGACCACTGGAAAATAGACAAGTGTTTCAATGCACTCTTTATGTCACAGGAGTTGTCAGAATTTTCATTGTGTCGATGCCACACCACCTACAGGGCTCCTCGTCAGGGTGTGATTTCAGAGTTTGCCTTCTCTTAGATGAGTTGACATGCCATCATTAAGCTTATTTTTTTTTTAAAATTATTTTTTTTTAGCTAAATTCCCATCCCCCCTCATTGGTCCTTTGGTTTTCTTCTGTAGCTTGATAATGAGAACGAGGAGCGACTGGTTCCCATCCACGCTGACGGGGACGGCCATTGTCTTGTGCATGCCGTCTCCCGAGCACTGGTAGGGTGGCAGCTCTTCTGGCACCCGCTGAGAGTCAACCTGATGAGGCATTTCCAGGAAAACTTTACCAAGTACCAGATGCAGTTTCAGGTGAGCCTCTGTGGTGTATGGCATTAAACTGTACACCTTTAGGATTCTTTGGTGTCGGCAGCCTATATTTTCTTCATACATTCGTTTGCCTTCCGGGAAAGAAAAAAAAAGGTATTTTTAAGTTGACAGACAAAGTCTGAGTCATCTTCATAAAAAATAATTTACATTGTCCAGCAATCATGTAAGATTAATAGATTCCAACTCGGATTTACAACAATTTAAAAAAAGTATTAAGTTTACATGACACAGGCTAGATCAGTTGATTAAGTTGTTTTAATTAGGTTTCTTCAAAAATTGCTAATTATTTTAGAACTGAAATTCAATTCTGTTAGTGCATAGTGAAACCAATTTATTTCCAGGACTTTATTGACGCCAGTGAGTGGCAACTTATAATTAAAGAATGTGATCCAAATTTTGTCCCCAACGGTGCAGAGCCAACTGGCCTCAGGAATATTCATATTCTAGGCCTGGCCAATGTCCTGAAGCGGCCAATCGTATTGCTGGATTCGCTGGAGGGTATACAGAGCTCCGGGGATTACTCTGGTGAGGAAGATGGAAATATTGGTCTGTAGAAAGGAGTTTGGGTTTTAAAGTTAACTTTTCATGAGTGCTTTTGAAGAAGTATAGGGGAATGGGATACTAATTTAATTAATGTTTTATTGATTTGTCTTATGCCAGAATTGTAAACTTATGTATTTTGATGGCTTTGGGGTTAGAATTGCTGTCTACTTTAATCAGATCATATACAGCCAAAATGAACCATTAATTATTTGTCTCATGATGTGCTCTAAGTATGTCAAGCAGTGTATTCAGACCAGGGTGTCAACTTAGGAACTATATTTTTGATATCCCCCACATTTGGAACTTGGTTATATTTTTGTTTAGTTCCATAGCCTCAGCTGCTACTCAAATTCCATAATACTTGATAATTTGCTGTTTAAGATTAAACATGAATTTTAATTTTTGTTGTTGCTTTTAATAAAAAAAAGAAATTTACTTACATTTTTCTACAGCTATTTTCTTACCTTGCTTCTCTCCCCCATCTGAATGCATGAACAAGGATGGGATCTTGAACAACCCTATTTGCATTGCCTGGAGCAGTCCAGGGAGAAATCACTTCATACCATTAGTTGGGGTCAAAGGTCTGTTTTTGTTATCTTACCCTACTCTTTATCAGTTAGCATTGAGCCCTGCTATAATGCAATGATTGGGGTCCATAAGATCAGATGGCACTAAGAGCGGGGTTATGTTAATGTTGTGTTTTACAATATGACGCGTGAATAGTGCTGTGATTTTTAGAAAAGTAGGAAGACAGGTTATTTTATTAAATTTATAAACTGATTTTTTAATCTCTTGTGGTAAGTGATTTGTGAGGTGTTGAGCTAATTTTAGTAGTTCTATAATGGTGTTGTATGTGAATATATGTATTTTGTACTTCTTTTTTTCAAGTACTTTGAAATAATATTAATTTTCATGTGTGGCTGAATATTCAAATATTCGTGAGCCATGCCGCAATGGCATTATATCCTAATTCATGTTATAGTGGAGGCGCTTTATCTTCCACTGTATTAAAATTTAGAACTAAAAAGTTACACTATTTACTGGCTCTGGAACCGAAATTAAACTACTTTGCCATATTATCAAAATGTTCCTGTCTCATAAAAACGTTATGAACAGGTTCTTTCCATCAGACCCTCAATAACATGATACGTGTGAACTTGCTTATCTTGAACTCGGTTAACTCGCCAACCCTGTTATGTCAACGTCTTTGCCTGTGCATTTCCTCCTCTGTTATGTCGATTCTTTTATGTCGCCGAACCCTGATATCTCAAGCACAAAAGGCATTCAAATTTGCCCCTTAACCTCGGTTATCTCGATCCCCAAGACCATTCGCCGGCTTTTGAACTCTGCAAGAAGAAAAGGCAAACAACAAAGAAATAAGTTTTTCATAATTAAAAATAATTATTTATTTCTCTAAATACAGGACTTGTGTTTTAGAATGAACCTAGAAGTAATTTAAATAAATATACTTTAATTCGAGGTTTAAAAACCTGGTAGAGTCCATATTATAAATGCTCATAATTTGCTGTGTTTAAAACTTTGTCATGGGCAGCCATTCACGGTCACTTACATAATGGCTATGCCGTGGTACTATGTCAGAGTTTCATTCATAACAGTTTGCCGTGTGATTGGCCAGGAAGATAATAAACAAAATCACACTTTAAAAATTCGTAGCTCTAAAGTAGTAAAGTTAAAAAGTTGGTTCTGGTTTAATTTTTTTTTTAAATTTGAAATTTGCTATAAATAACTGTAATATTAAAAAAAAATATTTATTATGTTTTTACCGAAGTACCTGCATTTATTAACGCACATCATGTACATAAAGAAAGTTCAAGCACATGTTTATATATTGCCGCCATATTGGTTTTCGGTTATCTTGATCATCGGTTATCTCGACGCTTTTTGGCAAACCCAGAGGCCGTCGACATAACCGAGTTCTACTGAATTGGGTGTTTCAATCCAGCAAATGTGTCTTCTCATTGAAAGGTAAAAAATGCCCCGTGTTGTCAAGGCACATGATTCAGAGAGCCTGGGGTATCTCAGACCTTGAGATTGACAAGTATGTGCACTTTGATGTCAACGGATTTTGTCAGATAGGTGGAGAGAAGGTGCTGCAGGTGAGAATGTCAGCACGCTCAGTGTAATTGTTATATCATTAATGGAGAGAAGGTGCTGCAGGTGAGAATGTCGGCGCGCTCAGTGTAATTGTTATATGATTAATGGAGAGAAGGTGCTGCAGGTGAGAATGTCGGCATGCTCAGTGTAATTGTTCTATGATTAATGGAGAGAAGGTGCTGCAGGTGAGAATGTCGGCACGCTCAGTGTAATTGTTCTATGATTAATGGAGAGAAGGTGCTGCAGGTGAGAATGTCAGCATGCTCAGTGTAATTGTTATATGATTAATGGAGAGACGGTGGTGCAGGTGAGAATGTCGGCATGCTCAGTGTAATTGTTATATGATTAATGGAGAGAAGGTGCTGCAGGTGAGAATGTCGGCATGCTCAGTGTAATTGTTCTATGATTAATGGAGAGAAGGTGCTGCAGGTGAGAATGTCAGCATGCTCAGTGTAATTGTTATATGATTAATGGAGAGAAGGTGCTGCAGGTGAGAATGTCAGCATGCTCAGTGTAATTGTTATATGATTAATCTGCTAAAACGCTCCCCTCTCTCTACACTTCTTCTTCTTCTTATATTTGAGGGCCCCACGATCAATTTGTTGATCATTCTTGTGCACATACACACTCTCGTACACACACTCTTACAATTATTTCTTGTATGGTTAAATGAATGATACAGTGGGAAATTTCATTATCTTGTCATTTTATTTTTCAGCTTTAGAGCTCATCAGTCTAAATGTTTAAATTAAAATCAGTGCAAACATGTTTGCTTCTAAACTTTTGATTAAAATAAATTTCTCTTCTAATTAACTGAAATGTTTTTTCTTTGACTCCCTGATTATAATTAATTTGATTAAAATTCAGTAATTTTTGTGGTGTGTACACAGGCAGGATATTTCCAGCGCCTGGTTTCAGCAATGTCTGACATATTTTATGAAAAGTATCATGTGTCCTCTGCCCTCCTTGCCGACGTTTATCAACAGATTTTTAAAGCTAATGGTGAGCTATCCAATTTTAACTTAAGTAGAACACCTTTGCTCAAGGTTATTGAAAATTTTGGGGGAAGGGGAGGGGGGGGGAAGAAATGTCTTTCAATATTTAATATCAGCTGTTGCAATAGTTTTATAATAAATATATTTATTTTTCATATTTTAATTTGTTCAAGTAATTTGTTTTAAATTTCATTGATAAAAATGTTATTAAGTTTTAAAAAAATTTTTTATCAACAAAGTTCATAATCAAAGTTTGACTTTTTATTATTTATTTCTAATTATCTATTGTTTCTTGTTTCGTATTGTCTGCTGAGGAAAGCATCTTGCCGAAACTTACTTTTTATTGTTTTGTCTTTACATTTCAAGCCTAAACATATCTTAGTTCCACTGTTTTCTTAATTTCATCTATAATGCAGAATGACTACTTTTATTATTCAAATCACTCCTCATTTTGTTACCTACCTGTTCTTCAACCTCTCAGATATCTAAATGTTTTTCTTTGAGATCCATGCATGAATACCTCCTGCATGAACCAGTTTCTCAATTTCTCCTTTTTCTGCATTTCCATGAAAACACTCTCTTTGGCTGCTTAAATGTTTATTTTAGATTCCTTGCCTCCATTTGATTCCATGTTTTTCTTTTTAGTCAATATCTGGTCAGCATTTTACTCTATACAATTTTTGTTTGTAACTCAGGGCTGGTCTTTGGAATGGATCTTGAGTTCCTGCTGGAGAAGACCAAGGCAAGCATAGACGAGGGCCTTCTCTTCATCTGCCTGTCCTGTCACAGCCTGGGCTTTGCCAGTGTCATCAGTGAAGACTGGTGTTACCCAGGGGGAGAACTCTATGAACTTGCAAAGACTCACGGAAAGCTGAAAGATCAACAGCAGTACTCGTTTCCCCTTCATGGTGAGGAGATACAAAAATAATAGCAAAATATGTTAAAAAATATATATATTTATGCATTTAAAATAATTTCTCTATATGAGATCCTCTCACGGATGTTAAATGATAAAATAGCTTCACTTATGATTCCAAAAAATAAGAACGAGTTACTTGTTGCCTTTTTAAAAAATCTCTCAGAATTGTGCTTCCACCTTTTTTTAAAACCCATTCACTAATTTACAAGCGAAAATATTGCTGAACTATGAAAACTCTTTTGTGTCCTGGAGAGATCCATTTCAAATAAACAACTGTCAAACATAGAATCCTTTTCACTTCTATGGTCACATGGCAGCTGATGACAAACGCAATTCCGTTTTAAAGATGCAAGAGTTTCAGTACTGCTAGTTTTGGGTGCATGCTGTGTATACATTTCTTTATTAACTCTAACAAAAGATCACCTGACATTTTTTATCAACTTTAACAAAAGATTGACTGACCATGCTGAAAAAAATAAAAGATTTAAATTTCAAAGCTTTGGGAAGGTTTTTTTTTTCATTAAAAAAATACTTCAACAATTTCCTCTCCGCAGATGTGATAGCAAGCTACGATGCCTGCCTGGATAAACTAGTTGTAGTGAAGGGAAGCCACAAGCCCTCTTCCTGTTTGTACTGTAACAGGTTAGAAATGCAATTTTTATTCTTTTCTGCTGTGATCACCGCCAGCACATGGCTAAGATATGATTTTTAAATGATTTTTTTTTATTGTGGCTCACAAACGGGTACAGCTTCGAATGGACTTCTGTGCACTTGGCTTGTTGGCTTATTTTAACTCTTTCCCTCCGGAATTATTTTCCACGTTCTGACGGAATTATCTATTTCGGGTTTTTGTTGCGCGCTACTATGTTTTCTCTAAACCTTCATAACTTTTTTGTTTTTAATCAGAAAATGTTAATATTGGTATGGAATTAAAGGGAAATGCATGCTCCTTGCAAACAAACAAGATTTGGGTTTAAATTTTAATAAATAAATGTGATTGTGATTTAAGGAAAATAAAAATCTATTTAAAAAAACTCACCAAATGTTCACAAAACGCTCCTTTGAAGTCACACGAAGAGAAATATATAATCCAAAGTGTAACAAAAATGTTTTTTTTCTGAACTATATTCATATGTGCATCACAAATAATAAAGATCAACTTTCAAAAAAGAAAAAATTAAACCTCAGAGCACATTATCCATTGTCACCACCACACAAAAAATTAGGAAAAAAATTCAACTAATTCCACTGGAGACAATCTGTTGCTATTTAAAAAATAATTGCACTGTATAAATTAAACCTCAGAGCACATTATCCATTGTCACCACCACACAAAAAATTAGGAAAAAAATTCAACTAATTCCACTGGAGACAATCTGTTGCTATTTAAAAAATAATTGCACTGTATCCTTGAATGTACTAAAATTTATAATAGTAAATGGAGAATTTACCATACATTAGTCACATATTTCCATCTGGGTTTAGCAATAGTAAGCCTAAAAAACAATCCATATGGATGTGCCCTTTAGCTGGGGGGGCGGGGCTGGTTGTTCATCAGCTGATGAATTACTAATTTCATTATTTTGTCACTAGTACTACTAATACTAGTACTAGGATTATGATCATACGATTCGACAGAATCAGCCTCTGCATTTGAAATAATAAAATCACTGTCTGAATCATCACAAGAGTAATATTTTCCACCTTTATTGGATTGATCACCAGATGGGTCAGGTCAAGATTTCATGTTTGTAAACTAAAATAAAATGGACAATCAAAACAACCGCTTCAAACAATTCGTTTTTCGCTCAATCACAGTAAAACCGGATGTTTATGAAAGGGAAATCATTCTAGAATTGATTTAAAATAACTAAATACCGATAGCTAAGAAAAGAACCGAAATAAACAGGTTTTTATACATCGACGATCCCATCGTCGATACGCCGAACTCTTCATTTCAAATCGACGATGGGAGCGTTGATCCGGAGGGAAAGAGAACTAAATACCGATAGCTAAGAAAAGAACCGAAATAAACAGGTTTTTATACATCGACGATCCCATCGTCGATACGCCGAACTCTTCATTTCAAATCGACGATGGGAGCGTTGATCCGGAGGGAAAGAGTTAATAATTAAACCAGGGCTGAGGCCCCAACCTTATAGACATATTTTTGTGTAAAGCATCTCCAAATTCTTTTGCAACTCATTCCCTCCGACAGTGCTCTTCCATACCGGTACTAAATTTATTTTCCTGAGAAAAGGGAAGCAACTCAGTTTTGACATTGATTTACATTTTTAAAATATTTTTTTAAGCTGCTAAATATAAATAAATGTTAATGAATTAAGGACGAATGAATCAAAAAATGAATAAGATTTTATAAAAAATACAACATTAGCGGCGACAAAATTATGAACAATGGCCAAAAAAATTGATTTTTGGCACCTCGGACAAACACATGCTAGATATAGACGCGCCTTACTAAAGCACACGTAGTTTAAAGTGAAACAAGATAAAAACTTTCGGTTTTTCAATTAAAATCACGGAGAATCATGCCATAGCTGGAAATCTTGAGGGACATGAGATTTCATTGCTATTTTTAATTAATTATAAGAGAGGTGTGTCGCTATGCGCCAGGACGCATTTGGACGCATCCGTCGAAACCCCCAAAGGACGCATTTATTCACAACCTTCGGGAATGAGTTAAAGAACCCAACATTTTCGCTCTAAAAACACATATTCAGTGTAGCTTACCAATTTTAATTTTTTTGCATATTTTATATCCATCACTTGTATTTAAACATAAGAAGAAACAGCAAATGTTGATGTGAGAATATGATTTAACCAAAAAAAATTTTGTTTAAACTTGTCAGTTACTGAAAATTTCATACATCAACATTTACTCATCTTGAAAGATACTCCAATATTTACACATTCTTTAAAAAAAAAATTTAGTTTGACCTTTCTTTACTCTGACTACTGCAGCAAGACTTTCCGCCTGGTGGATGCTGACTACACTGTGCATTATGAGAACAAGGACAAGACCATGACAAAATCAAAAACATGCCAGTGTGGCTTTAAGCACTACTGGGAGGGCAAGGAGTATGATGGCTTTCCTAAATTGTAAGCAATATTCTAGCACAGCATAAGACAGCTTGTCAAACATGCCAGTGTTTTGTCTTGTTGACGGTCATCCCTGTTTGTTTGAAAAAAAAGCATAAAGAAATAGCTATAGAAAACAAAATAAATTTAGCCGGAAGACTTAAGCAAATTTGTGTTTTAATTCATGGAGTGCATATTTAAATTGAATTTAGCAAGAGTCTCACATACCAACATTTTTTTAACAACAATTTTTGCATTTCTTATATTATTTTAAGAAAGAACAAATTGTATTTTTAAATTAATTGAAATACTATGAAATGGACCATCAGCGTTTTCCGTCATTTCAGGATTTAAATAACTTTCTCCCCCACGATAACTTTACAAATGCTGCATTTACTTAATGATTTGAGCCTTTTTATGTTATCATTACTTTCTCACTGGATAATTCACAGCCTCACTGTTCAGATGGACTGGGGAGATCGGTCCATCAAGGCCCAGGTAGATTGGTTCCAAGACCAAGAAGATCCCAGTCTCAACAGCAATGCCTACGAGATAGCCCAGAACCTTGTGCAGGCTCACTTTCCTGGTAAGTCCAGTACCTTGTTCAGGCTCACTTTCAAGGTAAGTCCAGTATATTGTCCAGGCTCACTTTCAAGGTAAGTCCAGTATATTGTCCAGGCTCACTTTCCAGGTAAGTCCAGTACCTTGTTCAGGTTTGCCTTTTAAATATATAACACAGTGTTATTGGTACTTCACAGCCACCTTGAAATAACCCATGCTATGGAATTCCCTTGATTTGCAATAAGATTACTGTCCTGGATCAAATGTCACAAATTCAGTTGTATATTACACATATATTTATTTAGATAAATTTTCTAAAATATGATGTTTTTAGAGAAAAATGGGGGCATGATTATGAAATCAGATTATTTTCCCCACTGCAGGAGAGTTCGGCAGTGAGAGGCTAGTGCAGAAGGTGGTGGAGCAGATCCTGCGCCAAACGAACAAACCTGAAGCAGAGAAGAGTGCTCAGCGAGAGGTGAGGGGTGCTGCAGGCACGTCAGCCTCTAACGAGTCTGCATCTGTTGATGAGGAGGAGCAAGCTGGTTGGTCGCCGCACAAGGCGACGAAAGCAATACTCACTGGACTGCAGGTCTGTCTCACAGTTAACTTCCTGAAATCTAAGAGATAAATATATTTATAGTTTCTAAGGAACTTAAAGTAAAACAAAATGTATAGAAATTTCAGTAAAAATTTCAATTTACATTTTTTTTAAAACTGTTTGTATAGGGAATTTCTGTTCAAAATGTTAAAATGTTATCTAGAAATGTTTGTCAATTGATGTTTCAACTTATAGCTCAAATAGAGTTTGAAAATAATTTTTTTTTAAAGGGTTCATTAACTCCATAAAATTACAATGTGGAGTTTTAAAAAAAAAGCGACATTTTGGTTCTATGAAAACCAAAATATTTTTGCTTGTGTTATTTTTTGCCCTAGAATTTATTTTTTATAATTGAACCAAAGTTATTGTCCTATTTTAAATTTTTTTTTAGGTTTTTGCACTGACCGCGTACAACTGGAAGCCTATGATAATGTTAATCACTTTGGTGGTCCATGTTGGATAGGGTATAGGCAAAGTTGGGGCCAGGGCTGCAAAAGTCAGCCGATGATATCAAGCAGATTGTTCTTGTATATTTATAAACTGTGCGGACTGGAAGCATGTCCCTTTTTTTTTCCTCTGTCGTTTTTCTGATTTTTTATTTTTCAAAAAGAAAAACAATACTCTTTGTAAACATAACCAACTCATGCTAAAAAGAAAATAGGTGAAAGTGACTTGTGCGGCCTTGGTTGTGTCAGTGTGAAAAGTTAAGTCAAGGAATGGTCATGACACCACCCTGCGTAACAGTCTCTTGCCATTTCACAGAGACAGAGTGTGCACAAGGAGGAACTCAACAAGAGCACAGCGGAGCGCAGAGTCCAGCAGCAGATTGAAGCCAATGCATCAAAGCAACAACGAAAACTTTCTGACCAGATGTCGCAGGAGGGGCGGCACACGTCTGAACAAGGGTCACGGGTAGGTTTCAGCTTGAGAGCAAGGCAGGCAAAATGGTTTTAAAATAAACCAATGTCAAAGCGATATTGGAACTTTCAAAAAGAGGCTAGAAGAAATGTAAATTCAAAAACCGTTTTGTTCTGAAAATCCTAGAGGTTTTGTTGGTTCGGAATACCCTACAGATTTTGTTGGTGCGCAATATCCTCATTTTAAGTTTAACTGGATGGAGTTCATTAGGACAGTTGAATTGTCTCTGAGGTTTAGGTACAGGTATGTAAGTGATTTATAATTATTGGGTGTCCCATGCATGGATTCACTATGGTGTTTGTATAATTTATCACTTGTTTGCTGATGGTCTGTGTGAAAAGGATCCTCCTGACCCTCATTTTATTTTTCAGATTTTTTTAGCTTGGTTAGTTTATATTATTTAATTTGATACACCGTCTCTGTTAAAAGTATCTAAGTTAGGATTATCATTTGATCAGTTTTTAAGATTTGTCCTTTTAACCCAATAGTTCAGCCATTTAATCAGTCAAAGAACTTTTTTTGTCCTTCTCTTCTTTTAAATAGAAAACACCAGAGCGAAAGCTTCACCAGTCCCCTCCACCATCTCCCCCTGCTGCCTCTGTTCGCCAGTCCCCACCCCCATCATCATCGTCTGCAACGTACTCCCAGGCTCCTTCTTCTGCGGCAGCTGCCGGGGCAACAAGCTCCACAACTCCGACGGGCAGCGGTGGAGCGTCAGAGTTATCAACCCCTACCAACAAGAGAATCAGACTCTCCACATCTGATGGTAGAAACGTAAGAAATTGATGACTTTAATTCTGGGCCCTTGTTTTGAAGTAAAAACACTTGATAGATAATCTGTTAGCACACTCTCCCTGAGAATCTTTTAGCACTCACTGAGAATCTGTTAGCACTCGCTCACTGAGAATCTGTTAGCTCTCCCTCACTGAGAATCTGTTAGCACATGCTCAAAACCAATTTTTTCTTCTAACTTGAGATTTATATATTTCAAATAAGTGAAGTTGTTACTTAACTGATGTTACTTAACTGAAAAAGTGTTCTACTCTTCATAAAAAATAATAATTTTCATTAAAAAAAATAATGTTAAAAGACTTAAGTTTACAAAAGTCAAAATTTTCAGCATCACTGAAATATTTTCTGAGGGTATTATTTGAGACACAGATGCCCAACATGTGCCAGGTGGTATTTTAACTCTTTTGATGCGGAACAACGCACACTGCGTTCTCCCGCCGTTCTCAAAAGCACAGACCAACGCGCTGTGTGTAGTTTCAATATCATGTTTGTTTCTTTGCTATTTCTCGGTTAAACTTTTTAAGAGCTATTTTTAAATAAGACTTTTACATAGAAGAGTGGTACTTCATTGTTTATAAGCGAAACCAAGGTTTATTTGTTGTCATTTGAAGCATTATTTTAATGATTGTCTTCACTTTTTTTTTTTTTCTTTGGTTGCTATGGCTGCTCTAGGCCCTAGAAGGAGAATAAGTTTCCTAGACGATGAACAGCTCAAAAAGTTTTGGAATAATTTTATTTCTTTTGATAGTGAAGATGATTTATATTTAGAACCATCACATGATTCCGATAGTAGTAGTTTTAGAGGATTTGAGTTATAGAAGTGAAGATGAGGCATGTGTACATCAAAGGGTTTGGGGGAAAAATGGTTTAGCATACCATGTTTTCAAATTTTATGGTTCTCTTCTGTAACTTATTTTATTTAAACTGAAGAAATAAGTTTACAAACATATTGTCCTTTCAATTATCTTTCATTTGATACCAAGTTTAGTCTTATAAACGAAAGAATAATATTTTAAATTTTTTTTTTTTTATAAACCCAACCTCTCACTCTTTTTCGCTCTTCGAAAAAATTAAAAAAATTTTCTATAAAAAAAATTCCGCTGCAAAAGAGTTAAGGGTTGAAGGGGAAAATATGATTAAAATTGAAGCCAGTTTAAGAATCTTTAAAGGCCATTTTTATTTTGTGGTTAGTGCAAGACTATTTGGTAGATTGTAGATAATAAATGAGATTAGGGATGCCAAAGCAAAACTTAATTTTAATGTGTCAACCACTTAACACCTTTATTCTTTAGTGGATTTATGACTTTGTGGTTTTATTAGAAATAATTTAGTCAAATTAGAATTGGTGTGCATAAATTACTTTATAAATGAATGTCAAGATTTTTGACAATTCATATAGAAGAACATGTGTCAATTAATTTAAAAAAACAGTTGACCAAGTTAAAATACAAAATTTCTAGTCATTGGATATACATGTACAGCAATTTTCTTCTTCAGATCACGCTTGACCTCCCATCAGAATGCACATTTCTTGAGCTGCAGTCCCTCATAACGGATGCTGTTGATGTCCCCTCGGCAAAACAGAAGATCAGGTATGGGTTCCCTCCCCGTGAGCTCAAACCCCCAGCGACCCCCGAGGGTGACTACAAGGTGCCGATCCAGCCTGGCGACAAAATCACGCTGGATATCCTGCATCCCCTGGCGCAGGACAAGCCTGCAGCCAAGATGACAAAACCAGGTATGAGGTTTGGATTTAAGAGATGTTTCCAAATTGTGTTTAGTAAAGCGTGACTGTTACAAGCTGTTATAAGGCCTAACAAATTTATTCTGTTTTAAGGTGTGGCTCATTAGGTAAACTATGTGTAACAAAAGACTGAAAACAAATATACGTGGGAAAACTAAACCAAAGATGGTGATAATATCAAATATACAGGATATTAAAATACAAAATGAAATATACAGAATTAAAAACTGTATTAACTTATACGCACACCAAGTGAAAAAGTAAAATCCTAGATAGGTAAAAACATTAATCCACACACACAGTGTAAAATTGTGTGTCTTGTAAGGCTCCTGGGAGTCTGACAAGTCTGCCGGTCACAGTTGACCGTCGTAATCATAGTGAGGGAGTCAGAGCCCCCCCTAGAACAGAAAGTCTAGAATTTATTCGCCAGAGAGTATTTCCCCACATCACACAAGGTGAACAAAAGCCAGGTCAACACACAGACTATAATGGCAATGACTCACAATTTTTGACCTGTGACTATGACCTAATTGTTTCCTTACATTAAACAAGCCAGCATCAAACATTAGGAATCCAGGTGTGAGGTTAGTTTTTGGAAAGGTAGCCAACATGAGTTAAGCTAAGGGTGAATCAAAATGTTGACATGTTAACATAATGAATATGTTTGGGTTTTTTTTTTACATTGAATTGCTCTGATGATTTTTACATTGAATTGCTCTCGTGATTTTTACATTGATTTGCTCTGATGATTTTTACATTGATTTCCTCTGATGATTGCTCTGATGATTTTTACATTGATTTCCTCTGATGATTTTTACATTGATTTCCTCTGATGATTTTTACATTGATTTGCTCTGATGATTTTTATATTGATTTGCTCTGATGATTTTAACATTGAATTGCTCTGATGATTTTTATATTGATTTGCTCTGATGATTTTAACATTGAATTGCTCTGATGATTTTTATATTGATTTGCTCTGATGATTTTTATATTGATTTGCTCTGGTGATTTTTATATTGATTTGCTCTGGTGATTTCATTTCAAAATTTATTCAATATGTTTAAGTTGGGTTGACAAGGGGGATGAATTATTAGCCCATTTTGAATTAAAGTAAAACAAGAATGAAGCAGCTTAGGGCTGATTTCAACAAATCAATTTACTTTCTGATGTTTTGATATTTATATGGATGCAGTTTCTGACATTTTGTTTCGCTTACCGTTTTGTCAGCGGAAAAGAAAATAATTCACCCCCAGCCTCCGAGTAAGGAGATGTCCTGGACGTCGTTCGCGGAGGGAGGAATGGATGAAGTGTCCGACCGTGTTCTGCAGGGACTGATGGATCCTCTTCTTGCAAGTGGTAAATGGTTTTTTGTTTCATAAAATGCTTGGCCAACATCCAATCTTGCAACGCGCAGTGGAACTCGGTTGTTTTTCTTGTTACGGCCGCCACTTGCGTCTTTGAAATCATGTTGTGGGTGCAACCAGCCGGTGTTAAAACCTTGCACCCATTTTCAAGGCAGGTGTAGCGTGACTACCATTTTCACACCAACAGTTAATCTCGATATGGGGACTAGACAAAATGAAGAGAATAAGCTTAGTGCTTCCTTCCAGAATGTGTCATTGCAAGTAGGCCTCTTTGTGGTTCTTGTTAGAGCAAGTAGGCCTCTTTGTGGTTCTTGTTAAAGCAAGCAGAGACATAATGGGGATGAGGGTTGAGTTACAACATTCATTTTATTTTCACTCCCTAAAAGAGAGACACCACCACCACATTTTTCCCCCCCCCCCCCTTTTTTTTTTTCTTATCAAAATGTAGGGGTAGGGCTACTGCATAAACCAGACGAATGCAAGGCAGAAAGCTTACAATAATTTAACTAGTTACATATGACATTTGTTAAGAACTTCTTTATTTCTAAAGATAATTTCAAATTAAAATGTTGTCCACATTTATCAACGTTTATTGTATTTTTCCCAGGAGGGGATAACCTGGATCATTCTCTGTCAGCCCTGGCCTTGACAGCAGCCCTGGACAACAAGGATTTGTGGTTGTATGTCCAGCTGCGTCCACACCTGTTCTCTGTGAATGGCCTGTTCTACAAGCAGGTGGAGCGAGATGTGGGCCTGGAGCACGGGAAACACTGTCAGCTGCCCCTGTTGCCCCATAAGGTACGTTTGCCATCATGTGCAGATGTATACAACCATAGTGACCATGATATCTATAGTTTTTATTCTTCTTTTTAATAACCAAGTCCATCCCAGAACTGTGATTGATAACTTCACACATGACTGATGTGGTCTTAAATTTTCAACAAAATCAAGGCACCCAACCCTATTGTGATATAAATCTTCAATTCCACCACAAGTGCAGTTAGATTTTTAATTTACATTTCTTTGTAAAAAAATATCACATGAGTGGGCTTCAACTTGTTTATGTAAGAAAAGGTGTGTGTGTGTCCAAAAGAACTGATCCGCTTTTATGGATTTGCAATATAACGGCCATCTAGGCCGTCAAAACTGCACTCAAGACACATCTCTTTAAACTCTACTACCCAACTGATTCCCTCCCTCCCCCTGACCAATAAACGATCCCGCTAAATAGTTCTGGGGTGGGTGGGGTGAATATACATTATTTAAAAAAAAAATTTTTTTTTCTTTACAGCTGTTTTTTTATTAAATAAATGTATGTAATTTTATTTTAATGTCATGATTATGTTTGCTAATATTTTTATGTGCAGCTCGGTGAGCCCAGTCCTAGGCTGGGGTACCGCGCTATATAAGACCACTGTACTGATAATAATGTGTCCTCCACCCCCCTTCACTGTGGTGTGCAGAAGGTTTTTATATCTGAATTATCTGTCATTGCCTGTTCCACGTCTATCATTGTTGCCATGTCCTCAAGTATAGAAAGCTCTGTGTCAAATTATAGTGTTGAGTTATCATTTTGCGTGTCACAGTTTGTTCATCTATCATCTTATTGCCATGTCCTCAGGTAGAGAACTTGGTATGTCAGATTATAATGTTGGGTTATCATTTTGCCTGTCCCACACATATCATCTTTGTGACCTGTCCTCAGGTATAGGAGCTTGCATGTCAGATCATAGTATTTTATCATCCTCGCCTTGTCCTCAGATATTAAACCTGGTATGTCACATTCTAGTCTTGTCTTATCATTTTGCTTGTCACATGTGTTGTGGACCCATCATCTAAGTGCCCTGTCCTGATTTAGCCAGTCACATGTGTTGTGGACCCATAATCTAAGTGCCCTGTCCTCATTTTGCCTGTCACAAATTGTGTACCCATCGTCTTAGTGCCCTGTCTTCAGGTTTTTGTGTACAACCGTTTGGATGACAGACTTGAGCTGTGCTTGGAGCCCTATGGACACTTCCCCATTGAGATCAATGTTGAGAGAAATGCCTCTGGTATCACACCAGCCAGCAAGTGCAATAACAAGTCCACCGGCAAACCATTTTCGGGTCAGTGATCAATCTGTTTTGGTCATGTTGTCAGATCTATTTTTTAAATATTTTTTTATGCCCCAATGACTGTTATTACTAATTATAGGTTTTAGAAATCCAAAGACAAAAAAAAACACACATTTTTGTTCTCCTGGGAAACAGATGCAGATAGAGAACTTATGGGATGAGTGGCATTGCAGGAAGTGATATTAATAGGGTTTTGCAAGAGATCCTGCAAAAAATAATTTGTTGCTGTTTTTTGTTTTAAATACATGGGTGCATTTATATTAACATGAATTATAATTTTTGTGAAAGATGTTACTGTTATGGATATTCAAATAAGATGTTAATGTTATGGATATTCAAATAAGATGTTAATGTTATGGATATTCAAATAAGATGTTAATGTTATGGATATTCAAATAGATGTTAATGTTATGGATATTCAAATAAGATGTTAATGTTATGGATATTCAAATAAGATGTTAATGTTATGGATATTCAAATAAGATGTCAATGTTATTGATATTCAAATAAGATGTTAATGTTATGGATATTCAAATAAGATGTTAATGTTATGGATATTCAAAAAAAAATATAAATGCCATGCTGGGGAGCTTTTATCATTGGGTATAGGACTATAATGTCATGATGTTTCTTTTTCCTTTATGTTTTCAGGTCAAGGTCACTCACTAAGGCCAAGCACTAGTCAGGAAGAGAGAATGCCAACAGATGTCCCGATGTCCCCCAAACGCCATGAGGCCAGAAGGCTGAACACCCTGTGTGATCCAGCACTGCACCAGGAATCCATCGAGGAGGAGGATGAGGAGACAGAGGTTGAAACAGTCATCGACGATGGCCACTCTGCATCACATCGCCTCAACCCGGCACAGTTGATACGGAACCTGCCTCTCATCAGGGGGGCCCTGGGGCCGCACTCACTTCTGCCAATATCGGATACAAAGCTTGTGCGCAAGGGCCCTGGTTACAGTGAGCTGAGCCCCATTCCAGAGAATGCAGCCAACGAAAGCGTGGACATGCTGCACCAGCTGGTCAGCAGAATAGAGAGGGTCGTTGAGTCTCTGGGGCAGGACATGGCGGCCGCTGGAGACTGTGATGAACCGTCTCCCCATCTTGCGGCCTTGAACTCATGCCAGTCACATTTCACAGGGGCAAGGTCTCCTTCCCCTTCTCTCACCGTCCCAGCCTTGAGAACGAACAAAACCACCGCTGAGAACAAAGCACTTCATCCGACGTCTTTCAGAACCCCACTGTCCAACAACACAGACTTTGACAGCAGAAGCCACACAGCATTTCCCTCTGCTCACTATTCACCCATGCAGTCTCAGAGACAAGACTCTGGCCCAACCATTCTAGAAACATTTGACTCTAGCGAGTACAAATCTCACTCACCAACATCAGAACCTTGCCCCGACGGCGAGTCTATTTTTAACATCAAAGCATCCGAGCCCTTTCATCCATCACCAAGCCCCCAGGACGATTCGTGCGTAGTTGCCGCCTTGGCAGGTCAAGTGGCCTTCAGTATTGCCGCCATGGACACAGATGTTGAACCAGAGGTTCAGGGTCGCGATGGACGGGATGAGATATCCCAAAGTGAGCCAGCGGTTGTGCCGGAGTCGGAGGGTGAGGTGCAGGAGGAGGAGGAGATCATGGAGGCCGATTGTGAGAATCTGGTGCCTGAAGCTGTAGCCCGGCAGCCTCCCCTTATGGAGGTGGACAAAGAGGGTGTGGCATCGTCAGTGGAAGCCGCTGTGGAGGGGGATGGCCAAGAAACAGAACTTGGAGATTTGTATATAGAAGAGAAAGTCCCTGGTGATGGGATAGTAAGTATCACTTTTTTTAATTATCTGTTGTTTTTTGTTGTTTTTTTGGGGGGGGGAAGGGGTGTATACGGTGTGAGCTCTATTTCAAGTATGCTCCAGGTATTAAAAAGTGATGTATAATTCTTCCACTCAGTAAATTCATTGAAATGTGTGGTGTTAAAAAATCAAAAAAATAATTTCAAAAATAGTCTCTTACTCTTATAAAATAGCCATGTACTCGGCAGGCATCTACAATCCTGACATTTTACTGAATTTTTTCCTTGCAGCAGCCTATCCCTCCTGGAAACAGCAATTCAACTGAAAACATGGAGAGCACCTGACCACATTGTTTCATGGTTTGACAGAAGCAAAAAGAAGTAAACAGTCCATGTCTCACTAAGGATCTGCAGCGCTCACTGTCTGTACATTGGAATCTTTGTTCCACTTTGTGAGCTGGGGAACTTTAAATGGTGCTTGTGGCAGTGGGGGGTGGGGGGGGGGGGCGGGGGGGAAGGGAGGAGGAGAGATCTGCAATCTCCACACTGCATTAAAATTATATGAAATATAGCATATTTCTATAAATTAAATTTCCTTTTGTTTTGGCCGTTTTCTCAAACATGCTTGACAACAGAACCTGGGATATGAAGTTTCTGGCGCATGTGGGGGGAATCTATTTATTTAACATATAAATTTGTAAAGGTAGTTTGCTATAAGTGGCTTGATTTAACCCCGAACAAATTCATTCTAACAGTATGAATAACTGTCACATTATAGGTGAGGTGGGAGTACATGTTAAATGTGCATATGTCAGATATTACTGTCATGCTTCAAGTCGATGAAGTGACATTATTTTTTATATGACTGAGCTAATGACACAATTTTGATCTCTGTGTATCATCCCAAAGAGGTGATGGGATCCTACCTCAACCATTAAAGCACAGTAACGTCAGCTCCTTTCTGCTCCTGAAATACGGAATTCTGTGGTTTTGTGTTCTAACACTAGCACAACATCTAATTCTAATACCCTGTGAGCTTCACACGTATTCAACCAAATGTGTCATACGTACTGCGTAGTTTATTATAACAGAGGTTAATCAAATTTAGTGCCAAACTTTATGTGCAATGTTTTTTTTAAATTTTATTTTCATTATTAAACAAATTTAAACCCACCATTTTTTTTAAAAATATCTTTTGTGAATCTGATTTAATGCATTTTCTGACTATAGCAATCGTGAGCAATAATGTTTCTTAAAAATATTTTGTTTATGTCCGCAATGCCTGATGAGGGCCCAATTTGATTAATGGGACTAGAGGACCTCTCCAAAATTGTTCTCTATGCAGCCAATTAATACCCCACCCCTCGTTTTGGTTTTTTTCAAAGTAATGTCATCAAAACAACACTGAGATCATTGGCACTCTCATTGGAGTTTACAATTTTTCTTGACACCAAAGTGCAGACTCTAGTTAGGAAATGATGTCCAAGTGAATGTTTAGGGGATCCCAGCTTCCAGGGTGATCATTGAGTCGTGCTTACATCACCCCAGAGTGATTGCCCTTTATTGAAATGATGGGCCCTGCTTTAAATTATTTGCTCTTGATGGAGGATTTTTCCTGTTGAGAATTCTCCCCACAACCCCCCCCCCCCCCCCCCCCCTGGCATTATCTCAATCCCTCATCATCCATTCAGACTCGGCCATCTTGATGTACTGTTAATCTGATCAGCTCAGCTCAGCTATTTGTTGTTTCCCTATTGGGAGAAAGGCTAAGAATCAAAACATGGTTAAGATTTCAACCCCAAAACAAATAAAAAAAACAAAAACTTTTTCTTGTTTAATTAGTTGTGAATTCTTTGGTGTCCCAAAGAGGCCACTGTCAATTTAACATGTGGGCTATGGGAAAGAAATATTTACTCTGTGTAAAACAGTTTTAGGATGGGTATGCAACTAGTCTGAAAATGGGCAGAATATCTGTCCATTTTTTATGATGTCCCTGGATAAAATATTGTCTGATAGTGATGTCAAATGTTTTCAATTGAAAGTTAACTTGGGCCTTTGAAAACCTAAGTGTCTCCGACAAATGGGGACCCCGTCAACTAGAAACTGTAAAAAAAATGTGTGTCTCTATCTTCAGCGGCCCATCAAATAGAAACTGTAAAATATGTGTGTCTCTATCTTATGGGGCCCGTCAACTAGAAACTAAAAATTTGTGTCACCAACTCATGGCCTCCCATCAAATCAGAACTGTAAATATTGTTTTCTCCAAGTCATGTACCCCCGCAAACTCGGAACTGTAATAAATTTGTGTCACCAACTCATGGCCTCCCATCAACTCAGAACTGTAAAAATTGTTGTCTTCAAGTCATGTGCCCCCGCCAACTCAGAACTGTAATAAATTTGTGTGACCAGCTCATGAGCCCCCCGCCAACTCAAAACTGTGAGTTCATTTTAACTATTACATTTTTCACATTGGTTTTTTTATATATTTTTGTTTAATCTCCATTCAATAAACAACTCTTTAAAAAATTAACTATTCACTTATGTGAATCAAGTTTCAGTGATTAACTAAGTGTTGTGTACATAAATCTCACAAATTGTTGTGGTGCATTACAAATTGACTTCTAAATTTAGTCACTGCCAAATGCAATTTCAACTGTCAATTTCATTATGTAAATGCGAGCGATGGATGGTTGTATTTGATCCATTTTTTTTCATGTCACAGCAATTTTATTCACATTATCCATTTGGCCCAAATTTCACTTTAAAACTAATTTTTAGCTGGTTGGACTGCGATTAAGCTTTTTGTTAGATAAATGAGACTCATACTGTTTGTTTTATTTTGTATGTTGTGCAATCATAATTAAAGCTTGAAATTGACATGTAATGTTTTATTTACACAATTTTTCTTTGGTCTCTCATTAAGGATCTTTGCAAATGTGGATTGGTTGACATAACTTAAATTAAAGTGGAATAGTTGCTGATAAGTTAAATAACTTTGGATTGGTCGTCTCTAAGTTATCTTAACTTTTGGATTGGTTGCCTATTACTTTTATAAATGTTGAATTGGTGCCTGATGTTAATATATAAATGGGGTATTCCCCCTGCCAAATTTTGTTTTTTCCTTCATTTCGTTCGTAATGAGCAGTTATATTGTAATGGTTGTGTGGGTGGTTTGAAATTGTGATTTTTTGGTGACCTAGGGATAGTTGTTTGACAGTTGCCAGTTAAAGGGGATCTAGGGATCAAACATTTTGACAATTGCCTTTTTGTTCCGACTCGATATCTATGCATGAAGGAGGATGATTTGTGGTCGTCATTCATCAGTCTGTTATAACTTTGAGGGTAGAGGCTATTTTCAACGTTTGCTCAATTGTGTACAGGTCATTCAGGTGTAAGCGAGTCACAGTTGTCATTTACTTGGCTTAGGTCATTTGGTGGCAATTACTTGGCCCTGATCATTTGGTGTCATAGACTTGGCTCAGGTCATTTGGTGTCATTGACTTGACTCAGGTCATTTGGTGGATAGACTTGGCTTAGGTCATTTGATGTCAGACTTGGCTTAGGTCGTTTGTTGTCATTTACTTGGCTTAGGTCATTTGTTGTCATTTACTTGGCTTAGGTCATTTGTTGTCATTTATTTGGCTCTGATCATTTGGTGTCATTTTCTTGGCTCAGGTTATTGGGTTTCATTTTTTGTTTATTGAACTCAAGAGGGCAATAGACACTGAAAACAAAAAAAATTAACAATTTTTGTTCCATGTTAGATTTTGCTAATGGTCAGCTTGGACCATCAATTGCCAAGACCTGATTTCATAGAAATAGAAATCAAGTATGCGTTAGTCATTTTGTTCTTGAGATCCTTACATGCATTCAGTCCCTTCACATGTCAAACTACTCAGTTGAGAATAGGTTTAGCCCGGTCAGATCAGCAAAATGTATTATAAACAGTGGCCTGTTACCTCCACTCTACATGGCAGTACTTGTACTAACGGTTAAGCACTGGCTTTGTGTTTATATTATCAAACATAACCTTACTTTAAAAGATCCATGGAATATATTTGTTTGGGTTGTAAAAAAATAAGGGCATTGTATATGTAGAGCACAATGACACAGAGGTCTCGCTGAAAACACTGTATTATAAAGGGTATATTAACTTAACTGTTAAGAAAAAAAAAATTTAGGTAGAAAAGAGCAAATATCTTTTTTTCCAGTTTCATGTCAGTGGTCGATGCAGTTGTTTCACTATGGAAACATAATGTATGGGATGATGATTCGATGAACTGAATGGAAATAAATTATTGAGATTAAAAGCATACTATTAAAAAATATATTATTGGGTCTGTGATAGTTAGCCCTACTCAACCTTCTGGAATTGAGTTTAGAAACTTCAAACAGGAATTATTAACTAACCTTACTCAGAAATGAAAAAGTGGTATGTTTCCAAGGGCAGGCTACTCTGTGTTACAAAAATTTGGACACATTACCCATAAA